CACCTTAGATGGATCTCAAGAGCATCATGTTCAGAGAAAAAAGCCAAAGCCAATCAAAAAAGGTTATATACTACAGTTGACCCTGAACAACACAAATTTGAACTGTGCAGGTCTGCTTATACATGGATTTTTTTCAATAAATATATTAGAAAACTTTTTGGAGATTTACAATTTGAAAAACTCACGTAGCCTAGAAATATTGAAAAAATTAAGAAAAAGTTATATGTCATGAATGCATAAAATATATGTAAATACTAGTCTATTTATGTGTTAATGCACAGTTTATGTTATTGGTAAGGCTTCCAGTCAACAGTAGGCTATTAGTAGTTAAGTTTTGGGGGAGTCAAAAGTACACATGGAGTTTTGACTATACAGGGGGTTGGTGCCCCTAATTCCTGCATTGTTCAAGGTCAACTGTATATGATTCCATTTATATAACATTGACAAATGACAAAACTATAGAGGTGAAGAATAGATCAGTTGCTGCCAGGGGATGGAGACAGGCGAAGATATAACTGTAAAGGGATACACAAGGAAGTTCCTTAGTGGCAATAAAACTATCTTGACAATACTGGTAGTTACACCAATCTACAAATGTAACCAAATCATACAGAACTATGTACACACATACACACACAGAAGGGGATATAAAAACTGGTAAAAAATAAATAAGGTAGTCTAGTTAACAGTATCGCACCAATGTCAGTTTCCTGGCTCTGAAATTATACCATAGTTACCTGAGATGTCATCATTAAGGGAACATGGGTAAAAGGTTCATAAGGCCCTATGTACTATTTCTGTAACTTCCCGTGAGTCTATAATTATTTCAAAATAAAAAGGCAAAAATATAATTTCACCTGTTTTTTTATGTGACCAGCTGAAAATTTAAAATTGCATATGTGGCTTATATCATATTTCTATTGAACACTGCTGCTCTGGAGAGTTTAACACGTGCACTGGAATAAACTATGGGGTCAATTATTACATGTTCCAGTCCTTGAACATCTACAATAGACTTTCCTTTCCCACAAAAACCTGTATTCAAATAAATTTAAGAAACATGATAGGTTAAACAAATTTACACAGGTTTCTTTACAAGAGGTCTTCTCAGACCCTTTAATATGCAAATGTATATCATAAATCTCTAATACTCTTATTTCACAAGAAAGGAAACTAAGGCACGGAGGGATTAAGAATACTATTTAAGGTCATATGGTTAGTAAGTGACAGAGCCAGGATTCAAATCTAAGTAGTCTGGCTCTCAGAGGAAATGAAGAGTTTGAGATTTTGGTGAATTGTACCATTTTTGGACATAAAGATAAAACCAATAGCCCTGTCAGGGGAGCTTTCACTTTATTTTTCTAATGGTGGAGATGGATTTGTGCAGAGCTATCTGTACTTCTTTCATTTAGTGATCCTACAACAAAGAGCTTGTCTTTAAGAAAGTGGTAGGAGCCGGGCGTGGTGGCTCACGCCTGTAATTCTAGCACTCTGGGAGGCCCAGGTGGGAGGATCGCTCGAGGTCAGGAGTTCCAGATCAGCCTGAGCAAGAGAGAGGCCCCGTCTCTACTAAAAATAGAAAGAAATTAGTCAGACAACTAAAAATATATAGAAAAAATTAGCTAAGCATGGTGGCACATGCCTATAGTCCCAGCTACCCGGGAGGCTGAGGCAGAAGAATTGCTCGAGCCCAGGAGTTTGAGGTTGCTGTGAGCTAGGCTGACTGACGCCACGTCACTCTAGCCCAGGCAACAGAGTGAGACTCTGTCTCATAAACAAGGAAAAAGGAAAAAAGAAAGGGAAGGAAAAGAAAGGAAAGGAAAGAAAAGAAAAGAAAGTGGTAGGAATAAGAAATATGGATCCCAGCCACAAAATAGAGACTTAAGATATTTTTTAGTCTGGCAGGGAAATCTGACTATGAAGTGACAATTAGATAACAAAGATCCAACTTTTCACAGAAGCAAAAAAAGAAAAGTTGAAAAAAAAAAAAAAAAAAAAAAAAAAAAAAAAAAAAAAAAGATAACAAAGAAATATTAAATTCGATAATAACATTGTGATTACATAAGAAAATGTCATTAATTTTTAGAGATGTATAATGATGGATGTAGGGATAAAATGATAGTGTCTGGGGTTTTGCTTTCCTTCTTTTTATTTTTTTCTCTTTTTTGACAGGGTCTCACTCTGCTGCCTGGGCTAGAGTGCAATGGCCTGATCATAACTCACTGCAACCTCAGACTCCTAGGTTCAAGTGATCCTCCTGCCTCAGCCTCCTCAGTAGCTGAGACTACAGGCACACGCCACCATGCCCAGCTAATTTTTCTATTTTTTGTAGAGATGGTGTCTCACTATGTTGCCCAGGTTGGTCTTGAACTCCTGGCCTCAAGTGATCATCCTACCTTACCCTCCCAAAGTGCTGGGATTATTGGCATGAGCCACCATGCCTGGCCTGCTTTCCTTATTTCAGAGAGGCACAGAGAGGACAAGAAAAAAAGATAAAGAAGACAGATGAAGCATATATATTAAAATTTTGATAACTGTTGAATGTGGGGCAATGGGTAGTTCATTATGCTATTCTCTATACATTTATGTTTAAGATTTTTCATTAAAAAATGTTAAGCTGAGTGTTGTAAATCGCTCTTTTTCCAAACTCTTTTCAGCATCTATAATTTATAACTGTTAGGGAGAAAACTGAAGTTACTATTTTAGAGTAGATTATAAATAATAACATCTAAAGTAAAAATTGCTTTTAATTTACTGTCATTTAGATACATTTTATTTTCATTATCTTCATTATTCACTTCATCCTGGCTCCAGCTAGAGAATCATCTTTTGGGAGAGTAATCTTTAGGAGGAATCAAATAAAACACAAGTAGTGTAACTATGGTGGGTCAATAATTCTGGCCAAATAACTGCCTATCAGCATTTTTCCATACAAGATTTTTTTGCTCTCAGAATGGTCAGAATTATAAAAACAGATTATTTTAATGTAAACCACATTCACTTGATGGAGAAATAACAGTTTCTTCTTCCTAGTTCCTAAATAATTTATTATCTGAATTACTACCATGTGGATATCCTATTCCTTAATAGATAATAAGCTTCTAAAAAGAGAGAAGAGATTTGAGACTTATTTTCTTTGTATGTCTATTATACCAAGTAAAAGTGGGAAGGGACAAAGAAAATACCATTTACTGAGGAACTACTATGTGTCACACCCTATGCCATCACTTTAGATATGCTTTTAGGTCTTATTCCTATATTACAGAAATGAAGGCTCTGAGACTTAGTAATTTTACCTAAAAGTCATATGACTGGAAAAAAGCCTAGCCAGAAACCCCAGTGTGACTCAAAATATCATGCTTACTATTATAGTTAATATTTAATTAATAAATATATAGTTGCTAAAATTATATAGCTCAGTGAAGGCAAAAAAAAAAAAAAACCCAAAAAACTCTGGGACTTGGTTTCAAAAACCCCAAGCAGAATCCTGACTGTACTGGCTATTTAATCTTAAAATATGTAACATTTCTGATATAATTTCCTCTTCTGAAAAACTGAAGATAATCATACCCATCTTACAGAGTTGTTATAATGATCAAAAAGTGAAAGTCCTTTTGAAAGTGTAAAGCATTAATAAATGTAAGACATTATCATTAACTTGCTAAAGTGAAACACCACTTCACTAGGAGTAGGAGGTGGGTCTTTAAGCCAGAAATATTTGCTCTCTAAATCTCAAAAGCAAAACTGGCCCTTATGGATTCTGATGCTTAATTGCAGAGTTGGGGAGGCTGTATGTGTAATGGTTATGACCACAGACTTCAGAATCAGATCGACACCAGGTTTGTACCTCTCAGCTCCACCAACTTTGGGGAATGTATGTGGATCTTTGCCATGCTGTAATCTTTAAGTTTGAAATCCTTTTTTTTTTTAATTTATTTATTTATTTTTGAGACAGAGTCTCACTCTGTTGCCCGGGCTAGAGTGCCGTGGCATCAGCCTAGCTCACAGCAACCTCAAACTTCTGGGCTCAAGTGATCCTTCTGCCTCAGCCTCACGAGTAGCTGGGACTACAGACATGCAGCACCATGCCCGGCTAGTTTTTTCTATACATATTAGTTGGCCAATTAATTTCTATTTTATAGTAGAGATGGGCTCTCCCTCTTGCTCAGGCTGGTTTTGAACTTCTGATCTTGAGCAATACGCCCGCCTGGGCCTCCTAGAGTGTTAGATTACAGGCGTGAGCCACCGCGCCCGGCCAAGCTTGAAATCTTTATCCATAAAATGTGCAAAATAATAGGATAGCTTTGCACAGTGTGTGGCACTAGATGTATTCAACTTTATTGTAGCACTGGGCTATTAATAACTTCTCTAGTTGTTAAAGGCCCTTGACAGTGGGGCCCGAAGCACTGCGGAAATTACAAAGGCTCTAAGAGACCCAGTGTCTGCGTTCAGGAATTACAGCCCAAGAGGCAAAGTCCTAGGATAGCACAGGTGACACGCCCTCGGCTGGAGATGGAGGGACATGGGGCAGCATCCAGCAGGGCCGAGAGGAGTGAATTCCGAAGAAAAACTTCTCTTCCCAACCCTGGGAAAGAAAAGGAGCGAAGGACTGGTCAAGGAGGGTCCCCAGAGAGCCCGCGGCCCGCCTCAGCCTCCCCCGGCCCGGCTGGGGTGGCAGAGCAGTCCACTCACAGCTCCAAGTTCTGTGGCACGGCCTTCCGAGTGTATCTGGAGATCATCCTCCTCCTCCTCCTCAGCCGCGGCCAGGGCGGGCACGCCAGGGTGGGGGCCTCCGGGCCTGGCCCTTCCGCCGGCTCTGGCCCGGCCCACTCCTGCCACCTACCGGCCCCGTCTCGCCCCGTCGCCTAGATTCCGGACTGCCACCGCCCCTTGATCCCGCCTCCCCAGTCCTCCGACCTCCCAGCTTCCGCACGGGGGCGGAAGTGACGAAGACACTTGGGCACCCACCAAATGCTCCCGCCAACACGCAGCAGTGACGATACCCAAGGTTCCGGGGACTGAGCAGGTTTCAGACCTTTTTTCAGGGCTTCCACAGGCCTCAGGTTCTAGACTGGCGTTGGGACGTATGCTGATCCAGGCTTTGGCAGCTGGTGGCAGCTTTCAACCAGCTCACGCAGTGAGAGGGGCGGCTGAGGAAAGGTGTAACAGCAGAGACGCGCAGGACAGGCCTTAGGACCGTAAGACGAATTTACTTCGTTTTCTCAGATGGTGGGAGGGAGCCTGGTCTGAGTAAAGATCACTAGACTCCAAGTCAGGCCCCTGCTGCTTGGTCGCTTCTCTTTCTGTGCGCCCAGTTTTCTCATTTGTAGTGTGGTGTTAGCCCGAGTAATCTCAAAATCTCTTCCAGTTCTGACACTATAAATTCTGCATAATGAGGTGTGTTTGGCGTTATGGAGTGGGTGGGTAGAATTATTGTCTGTACCTCTGGGATGAAAGGCAAAATGGTGATTTGGACAGACTGTGATGGGTGGGTGTCTGGATAGAAGATGCAAGGTTCCTTAGTAGTCTGTTAGAAAGCCGAGTAAGCATAAGAATGCTGAGTTAGGGTGGCCGACCGTTGTAGTCCCCTCCTTTACCAAGCATCAGCTGACAGTAATAGCAAACTCGTACTCTTATTTGTAAGGAAAACCTTTAGGAAATAAAGAGATATCTATCACCTGTTAGTACATCAGAAGTGTGTAACTGCGACCTGAAAAGGAGGAAATTTAGGAGAGATAATGATAGGATCAAGAACTATGGGCAGATTATTTTGAGATAAGATGATAGGACATGAATGTTTTGTAGTTTTGAATTCCCCTATGCCATACGATGTTTGTAAAAGAGGGAGATTTAAATTCTGCAGAGCAAGAGAGATTGCTTTTTACAGTGTTTAAATAACAAAGTTTTAAAGCTGGGAGAGATTTTAGAGATACTAGGGTAACATTTTCAAATTAAGGAAAAACCCCAGAAAGAGAAAGTGAAGTGCTCAATGGCACAACTAATTAGTGGCAGAATTAGGACTTTTGGTAGTATTTAAACAGTGGATGTTAGTGCAGTGTTTCTCAAAGTGTGTTACACACACCAATTCTAGCACAAGGGCAAACGTTTAAAATTTTATTCTTACATATTTAATTTGGGAATGTGATACCAGATTTCTATTCACTCTATTATATCAAGGTTTCCTTTTAACATTATTTTAAATGTAAAGAACATAGTTTTAAGTATGAAATATCATTAAAAGAATAATACTGAATGTTACTGTAGGTGGTACATAGTCAAGCCAAAAGCCACAAGGATGGTATGTGGATAACTGAATTTTTGAAAACTCAATGTTAATAGAGTCACCTAGAAGAGTGCAGGAAATGGGATGTAACTTCTACATTGTTCTATGTGGTTTATATTTTGAAACTTTTAAATGTAGTTAAGAATGGAGGGAACTATGAAGCTTGCTACAGTGGAAGACACTGTGGAGTACCACCTGTTCCTGATACCAGATGAATCAAGGGACCCAGAAGAACACAAAGAGATTCTTCAGAAATATATTGAGAGAATAATGACCCAGTTTGCACATATGTTGGCCCCCTATATTTGGCAGAATCAGCCTTTCAATCTCAAATATAAACCTGGGAAAGGTAAAGCTCTTTTACTTATTTTGATTAGTGTAACTTAATGTTATTCTGACAATAGTGATGTGTAATAGTCCTTACTTCATTCAGTGTTGTTAGGAAGAGATTATATCCTCAACTTTTTAGATTAGTAATGCTTGTCTATATTCAGTTAAGCCTTAAACTTAAAAAAATTATTTTTAATTCATATTAATGAAAACTTTCTAATAGTCATTACCTTAGGAACTTGCATATACTAAGCATTATTAAACTCATGGCTATTCTTTTGAACTTTAGTTACTATCCTATGCCATGATGTATCTAAGTACCTATACTAAACAGGTTCAGGCATCTGGCTTCCTTAATCAAAGTTCCTTTGGCTGTTACTCAGTGTTCTTTATCTTGGTGATGTGTTTAGTAGGCTACCTTGTTTCACATAGTTATTTGGGTGAGGATCCAAGAGTAGCTCTGCCTGGCTTATAAAGAGAAATAATTGGGCTTTATGACCATTACTTGCCACTTAAAAGCATTTTGAGGTTCCTTCACTGTTTCCCTGTGTTGTCAGTGCTTGAGATCTGATCTCTGGGAAAATGTGGCACCCTGTCTTATCATTTTTACAGCTTTGCAAAAATGAATCATGGATAGATGACCAAGGGTCTACTCACATAGAGATTTATGTGGAGTCTTGTTTAGGATCATCAGCATGGTATCTTGGAATGGTATCACAAGTATACATCACTGTGATACTCTCAATTTGGTGTTTATCTGTTATATTTTTGGCTAGCAATTGCTAAATGTCTTCCTTACTGTTAATTTTATTGAGCTCTTTTTCTCTGATAAACATGTGATATTTTTTGGCAAGAACACTGTCATATTAGTGCAGCACATCCAAAACCAAGCCTTTATCTGCCCTCCTGAAAGTTATTTTTACCATGTTTTCTCATCTTATTTAATGGCATTGCCATACACCTAATTACCCAAGCTACTTATTAATTCAGAATCCTACTGAACTCTTCATATCACCATGTTCAGTTAGGCATTAAATTCCAATTAATTCTAAAATATGACCTCTTTTCTACATCTATTTGGCTTCAGTGTAGGCCTTCTTTATTTCTTCATCTGGAAAACTACAATAGCCTCCTATCCCACCTCTCTGGTTCTAGTCTCTCCACTTCCTCATACTGTTGCCAGTTACCTTTGTAAAACACAAATTTGTTCATGTCACTCTTCCACTCTCCTGCTTTACATCCTTCAACAGTTCCCCATTGCTTCAGCTGAAGTTTAAATTGAAGTCTAATATATGAGATAGATAAAAATACTCTTTTTTTAAGAGACAGGTCTTGTTCTGCTGCCCAGGCTGGAGTGCAGTGGCATGATCATAGCTCATTGTAGCCTCAAACTCCTGGGCTTAAGTGATCCTTCTGCCTCAGCCTCCTGAGCCTGGCTAATTTTTTTATTTTTTATGTTTGGGAATGTTCCCTCCCCTTCATTTCTCTGGAACACATTGAGGAGGATTGGCGTCAAATTCTTCTTTAAATGTTTGATGCAGTTCTCCATTGAAACCAACTGCTCCTGAGCTTTTCTTTTAATTACTAATTCAATCTCCTTATTAGTTATTGGTCTGTTCAGATTTTCTATTTTTTCATGATCCAGTCTTGATAGGTTGAATGTTTTTAGGAATTTATCCATTTCTTCTAGGTTATCCAATTTCTTGGCATACCATTGTTTATAGTATCCTCCTGTAATCTTTTTTATTTCTGTGGCATAGGTTGTAATGACCCCTTTTTCATTTCCAATTTCAGTTATTTGAGTCTTTCTAATTCCTAGTTAATCTAGTTAATAGTTTGGCAATTTTTTAAAAAAAAAACTTCATTTTTGTTGTTTTTCTATTCTCTATTTCATTTATCTCTGCTTTAATCTTTTTTCTCTCTTTCTCTCTTTTTAAGACAGAATCTCACTCTGTCACCCAGGCTGGAGTGCAGTGGCTTTATCACAGCTCGCTGCAACCTCACACTCCTGGGCTCAAGCCATTCTCCTGGCCTCAGCCTCCTGAGTAGCTGGAGCTACAGGTGTGTGCCAACACACCTGGCTAATTTATTTTCTATGTTTTGTAGAGATGGGTCTCTTGCTCAGGCTGGTACAAACTCTTGGCCTTAAGCAATCCTGCTTCGGCCTCTCAGAGTGCTAGGATTATAGACTTGAGCCATTGCACCCAGCCTCTGCTTTAATCTTTATTATTTCTTTCCTTCTGCTAACTTTGGGTTTGGTTTGTTCTTTTTCTAGTTCCTTGAGGTGTGAGGTTAGGTTGTTGATTTGAGATCTCTCTCAACTATAAACTTCCCTCTTAGCTCTGCTTTTGCTAAATCCCGTAAGTTTTGGTATGTTGTACATGCATTTTTATTTGTCTCAAGATATTTTCCAATTTTCCTTATGATTTCTTCTTTGATTCATTGATTGTTTAAAAGTGTATCATTTAATTTCCACACATTTATGGATAGTGCTCTTGTTTGAAAATTTCTGCTCCATCCAAATCTGGCTTTTTGGTGTTCCCAAAATATTGTCTGTCATGCCTCTGTGCCTTTGCACATGTTGTTCCCTCTTTATGCTGAGCCCACCTCTGGTCATTCTTTCAGATAAGCATAGCTCAGATATCTCCTTATGCTCACGCAGCTTTTAGTGCATATCTCTGTTCTAGAGTTCATCTGGTTTTGAGAAGGTTTGGTTGTCTATCTCTTGTTTTAGCCCAGGAGCTCGAGGGCTAAAACATCTTGTTCAGGATTGTAACCTTAGCTCCCATTATAGTATTAAATACTTGGAGCATAGTAAGTCAACAAATGTTTATTCAATTAAATGATGACATGTATTTTTATTTGCCATGACAAATTTATTTGGTTACATGGTTGCTTTTCTCTTATTTCTAGGAGGTGTTCCTGCTCATATGTTTGGCATGACAAAATTTGGGGATAACATTGAGGATGAATGGTTTATTGTTTACATAATAAAGCAGATTACAAAGGAATTTCCAGAGTTAGTAGCAAGGTATTATAGTTATTTTAATTATTCTAAAGGAATTTAATTACTGAAACTGAGTAACTACATTTTTATCCTTCTAGTAATTTTATTCCTGTACTCTGATAGATATTGTACAAATCGGGGACAGATTTAAAAAGTGACTGTGTTTTCTTTCTCTTCTCTTATGCCTTCCTTTTCTTGAGAAAGAATTAAAGTACTATTGGAAAGTTAAACTTCCAAAAGATTTCAAACCTACTTAATTTAGGTTTTATTTTTTAATATTCTAATTATGAAAGAACAAATAAATATGGTAAACAAAATTCAAATGATACAATCTGCTCTGGCTTCCCAGAAGTAATCACCATTAAATTTCTTACAGATCTTTGGGGAAAAAAAATTCATTCATGTACATATGTACATATTTCAGAGACTTTTAAAATATGTCTCCCTCTACTAGACCATAGCTATATTTTTTGAGAAATCATACATAGAAGCAATTGAAAGAGAAGTCCATAAACAATTATATAGCAAGCAAAGTAGGTATCACAGCATTGTAATTGTTTTAAAAAACAGAAACTATTCTTAGGTTATTGTTTGGGCATCTACCCAAATGATCCAGTGACACTCTACAAAAAAGACACCTGCACTCGAATGTTTATAGCAGCACAATTCATAATTGCAAGGCTGTGGAAACAGCCCAAGTGCCCATCAATCCAAGAATGGATTAATAAAATGTGGTATATGTATACCATGGAGTACTATTCAGCTCTAAGAAACAATGGTGATATAGCACATCTTATATTTTCCTGGTTAGAGCTGGAACCCATACTACTAAGTGAAGTATCCCAAGAATGGAAAAACAAGCACCAGATATATTCTCCAGCAAACTGGTATTAACTGAGTAGCACCTAAGTGGACACATAGGTACTACAGTAATAGGGTATTGGGCAGGTGGGAGGGGGGAGGGGGGAGGGGGGTGGGTATATACATACATAATGAGTGAGATGTGCACCATCTGGGGGATGGTCATGATGGAGACTCAGACTTAGGAAACAAAGGGATAAAAGTAAAAAAGTCACTACCCCCATAATATGAAAAAAAAAAAAAAAAAAAAAAAAAAAAACACAGAAACTGATAGTTCTCTGTAGTTACCAAGTATTACCAGCAGAGGGCGTTTTACCCGCTTATTATATTTTGTCCCAACTTTCCTAGTCAGAACCCAAATTCTGATCTTTTTCTGTCCATGCAACCTCTTTCTCAGCAGAAAGAAAAGAGAAGGGGAAAAAAGAAACCTTTGAAAACATATTGTTTACATTTTAGATATAACCCACACATACCTATCACCAGCTTAAACAATTATTGACTTACGGTCATTAGTATTTCATCTATACCACTCCCCTACTTTCCATCACATAGCAAGATTATTCTAAAGCAAATCACTATCTACTATTATGCCATCTGATACTTAAATATTTCAGGAATGAAATCTAAGAGATAAGAACTCATTCTTATTTTAAAATAGGCTTATTTAAAAAAATTTTTTTAATATTTATTTATTCATTTATTCATTCATTCAGAGTCTCACTATGTTTACCAGGCTGGACTTGAACTCCTGGGTCCAAGCAATCCTGCTGCCCTGGCTGCCCAAGTAGCGGGGACTACAGGCACAAGCCACCGCACCCTGTTAATTTTTTTAATTGAAAAGTAAAAATTATGTATATTTATCATATAACGTGTCATTTTGAAATATGTATACATTGTAGAATGGCTAAGTAGAGCTCATAACATGCACGACTTCATGTACTTATTTTTGTGTGTGTGATGAGAATATTTAAAATCTACTCTCAGCAATTTTCAAGAATACATCGTTATTAACTATATTGTACAATAAGGAAATCTTATTTTAAATACTATTGCCACACATAAAAATAATTAGCAATAATGTTTCAAGAAATAATAGATTTTTAAATGAACACACATAAAAATATTAGTTTAGATCTTTATAGGGCCAATAATGAGAGGGCAATACCTTTCTTGTACAGATTCTGATATTAATGAAATGATGGTTCGTATTTACACACCATGGCTATAAAGCTCTTTAAATCCTAGATATCCACTGCCTTGTCAGGTTTTTTTTTTTTAAACATTCAAAAACAAAAGAAGCTTTTCTCCTATAACCCTACCAGATTAGATTAGATTAATCTTCCTAAAGCAGAGCTGTAACCATTTTACTACCCTGCTCTAAAACCTTTAATTCCTTTTCTTTGCCTGTGAAACTCAGCATATTCTCATTGATTCTGCCAACACTTAATTCTCTTCACAAAATGTTATAACTGCCTTTTTAGTCTTGTTCTTTACTAGGTTTTGTCCTCTAAATAGCCACCTTAAGTTGCTACCTCCATGGTTTTGCTTATGCTGTTCCCTCCCAAGCACATCTCTCTTTTCTCCTTATAGACACTACCCATTAAAAGTACTGAGCTAGATGGTGTATAATGGTATATAGAATATGCTACCTTTTGTGTAAAAAAAGGGAGGAATAAGAATATATTTTCCTATTAGCTAGATTATGCACAAGCAAGTTCTAGAAGGATGTATAAGAAGCAGCAGTGAGGGGGGCAGGAATTGGGCAGATAGGAACAAAAGCAGAAGGAAGACTTTTTCATCTGTAACTTTTTATATATTTTTTAAAATTTTTAACCATGTGACTGTATAACCTGTTCAAAAATTTAAAGAAAGTGATGTAATTGAGGCAAAAACAATTATCTTTCAAGACCCGGTAACATCTCCTGCATAAAGGCTTTCCTAATCTTGACTATATATGATTTTTTTTCTTCTTTTAGAACCCTACAGTACTTTGTATATTTTCACATTTTGGTCTAATGTTATTTATTTATGTGCATTTCTTATTTTCTCTCCTTATTATCTTCCTTTAGAATCCTGCATACAATCTTATAGTCTCCTTCAGTGCTTAATGGTATCTTAATTATTTTGCTTTCTCAAAGCCATCTGCTCATAGTACATACTCAGATATTTACTGAGATGAAGAGGAAAATGTATTAGATTAAAACCATTTTGATTACTAGCAAATATATGCTTGTTAAGTGCAAAATTGGAACTTTTCTTACATTAGGATTGAAGACAATGATGGTGAATTCTTGTTGATAGAAGCTGCTGACTTTCTCCCTAAATGGTTAGATCCTGATAATAGCACCAACAGGGTAAGTATACCCAAGTTTGGAAAATTTACAGAGATATAATCATGCTGCATTATTGTTATATGTACTAGAGTTTGCCAGTGCTCACAGTGGAAATTAAAATGTACCATTTGCAGGTGTTTTTCCACCGTGGGGAGCTGTGCATTATCCCTACACCAAGGAAACCTGGAGCAGTATCTTGGTTACCTGCCACACCCCCAACAGTCCCACAAGCATTGAACATAATCTCAACACACCCAGAAAAAATTTTGGCTTCAGAATCTATACGAGCTGCTGTGAATAGGCGCATCAGAGGGTAATAAAAATATCACTTTCATTGCTAGTTGAGGAGTCTTTTGGTTTAGATTTGTCTTTCATTGATTATAAAATGTCTTGCACCTAGATTAATGCTAATTTTCGTTTTGTCTGCATCAAAATTACTAATGTATGGATTTTAAAATCAAGAAACATACCTTTTAATTCCAATTCAAAAGTGTTATAATCTAGCATCAATATTTTTGCATTTATTTACCTTAGATATTGTGGCTAAGTATTATCTATATCCATGGATAAAAAATATGACACCTTTAAAAGTGAAACCTAAGCCAACACAGTGTGCTCAGGTTTTTTCTGTGGCTCTGGGGCTATATGTAGTATTCTTCGATCTATGTGGAACACTTTAGGTTTTATTCAGAAGAAAAGGTCTTAGCCTCCTAACATACTAGTTCAGTCATTCAAATATGAGTACCTGTTAATGTGTAGCACCATTCAGATCTTAACAATATTAAAAATCTCTTTTAGCTTTGTTTCAGTACACTTTGTATCATTTTCTCAGAAGAATAAACTGATTTTATATTTATTCCAAAGTATAATGGGTTTTTTGCTTTGTTTTCATTGAGCTACCATAATCCCTTTTATTTTTCATTTCTTCCCATTTTCTCTTTTTCCCTCTCATCTTCCCTGCAGTCGCAAGTGTATATTGTATCTTTTTTCATCTCTCTTGTCACTCTACATCTTGCTTTTGATGAACCAAGACGTTAAAGGGGAAGTGAATGGTGTAAGAATTCTAGATACTTCTCTACAAAATCCCACAGAAAAAATACTTTTTAAAAAGAAAAAAAAAGAATTCTCGATATTTACATACTATAAAATAAAAGTAATTATATTAACTGTCATAGGTACCCAGAAAAAATTCAGGCCTCTCTTCATCGAGCACACTGCTTCCTTCCAGCTGGCATTGTAGCAGTGCTAAAGCATCGCCCTAGATTGGTGGCTGCCGCAGTCCAGGCATTTTATCTACGAGACCCCATTGACCTTCGATCCTGTCGTATTTTCAAGACATTCTTGCCTGAAACACGAATAATGACATCGGTAAGCTATCTCTCTTGGTCATTTAGTTTCTTTGTCTAGAAAGGAAGCTGAGACATTATTTTAATTGGTCTCTAGAAAAAAATGGAAATATTCTGTTTCCTTATAGCATGCTAATACAGGTTGGTTATCCCTTATCTGACATACTTGGGACCAGAAGTATTTCAGATTTCATATTTTTTTGGATTTTAGAATATTTGCATGATACTTGTTGAACATCCCAAATCTGAATATCTGAAATTCTGAAATGCTCCAATGAGCATTTCTGAGCTCCTCTTGGCACTGAAAAAAATTTCTGATTTTGGAAGATTTTGGATTTTCATATTTGGAGTATTCAACCTGTACACATTTTTTTCTTTTGTCATTTCTCCCACCCAGTGGAGGAAAGTTTCAAGAGACCTGACCCTCCATTTTATATCTTGATGTTTCCCAGCTATTTTTAACCATATTTTCCCTACTTTTATAATTCTATTATTTTTTTTTTAGACAGGGTCTTATTCTGTCGCCCTGGCTAGGATGCAGCGGCATCATCAGCGCTCACTGCAGCCTCAAACTCCTGGGCTCCAGTGATGCTCCTGCCTCAGACTCCTGAGTAGCTGGGACTACAGGCATGCGCCACCATGCCTGGCTAATGTTTCTTTTTTTTATAAAGACGGGATCTCACTCTTGCTCAGGCTAATCTTAAACTCCTGACCTCAAGCAATCCTCTCACCTCAGCTTCCCAGAGTGCTAGCATTACAGGCATGAGCCACCGTGCCCGGCCAATTATTTCTTTCTTAACAATAAAACATTTCCTCTCAGGCTGGTCCGAAGGTAATGTGTTATCTCACGTGATTGTTCACGGTCAGTTACAGATTGAACTCCTTGTTCTACTACTTTCCCCCCTCCTCACTACTGCACTTGACTAGTCTTTTTATACTCTTTTCTTTTTTTTTTTTTTTTTTCAATCCATCTCCTGACATGCATGACTAGTCTTAAAAAAAAAAAAATTTCCTCTCCTCCAGAAAATTAAGAATTAGGTTTGTTGGCTTGACCCTGTAATCCTAGCTACTTGGGAGGGAGGAGGATCTCTTGAAACCAGGAGCCCAAGACCAGCCCAAACAATATAGAAAAACCCCAGCTAAAATTTTAAAAAATTATTCTTTATCTTCTATCACCCAAACTGCCATATAATGAATGTAACTAATGATAAGAATGCCACAAGTGGTAACTAAAAAGTAGGCACTAAGGTAAATTTTATGGTATGTGAGTTATATCTCAATAAAGCTATTATTGAAAACAAGTAGACAGTGAATAGGTTGTATCTTCTTTACATTTCATATGAATATGAAGCTGATAAGTGGACTTATTATATTTAATTATGAAATGACATTTAAAATTTTAATTTGATGTGTTGTGTGTCTATATGCCTAGGTGACTTTCACTAAATGTCTGTATGCACAGTTGGTGCAACAAAGGTTTGTGCCAGACCGGCGAAGTGGATACAGGCTTCCTCCTCCATCTCATCCCCAGTATCGAGCCCATGAATTAGGCATGAAGCTGGTAATGTTGAGCAAAAAATTGTATTTTCTTTCTTTATGTAAAAGGACTCTTAACAGAATAATGGCACACAGCACAGAAAGTCTAGAAATATACCCTATTTTTGTGAGAATGTAGTAAAATGTGGTGTTTCAAATTAGAGGAAAAAATGAATTATTCAGTAAATGATAATAGAACAACTATGATGCCATCCTAAAAATTACACTTGATTTCCTCACACCTATACCAATATAAATTCCAGTCAGATCAAATGTTTACATGTAAAAATTGAAACTATAAAATTTGAAAAAAAAATAAAACATAGGAGAACTTTTTATAATATGAGTAGGAAAAGCCCTTCTGAGCATGACTTGAAACCAGAAGCTATAAAAGGGAAGATTGATAAATTCGATTGTATAAAAATTCAGCATGTCTGCATGGGAAAGAAAAACCCATAAAGGCAAAATATAGCAAACCTGTAGAAAGTGCTATATTTTAATCTAAATGAAAAAGCTGATTTCTCTGATGTATAAAATGTTCCTTAAATGATCCTCTAGAGTGATCAGGGAAGCTCCCTGTTTGAATAATTTTTCAATGCATCATTATATTTTTTAATCAAAGGACTCTTTTTTTTTTTTAAAGGACTCTTAAAATGAGTCCTATCAATGTGAAAAAGATAATACTAACAAAGTAATTTAAAATGTTCAGAAACTATGAGCAGATGGTCCATAGAAAAGAAACTATATTTTCCGTGTGGTGTCCTGGGTAAAAAAAAAAAAAAAAGAAACTATAAATGACCTTTAATTTAAACATGAAACATGTTGACCCTTGCTCATAATAAAAGAAATGCAATGTAAAGCTACAAAATAGTGTTTTTCACCATTAAATTGGCAAGAACCAAAAAGTTTGATAATATATACTGGGTTGGTGAAAATATATAGAGAAAAAGACACTCTCAAACCTTTTTGATAGGAATATAAAGTGTTTCAATCTCTTAGGAAAACAATTTGGCAATACAGATGCTTCTCAGTTTATGATGGGTTTACCTACTGATAAATCCATCCTGTGTCATATATCATAAGTCAAAAATGCATTTAATACACCTAACCTACAGGACATCATAACTTAGCGTGGCATTCCTTAAACGGGCTCAAAACACTTACATTAGCATACAGTTGGGCAAAATCATCTAACGCAAAGCCTATTTTATACTAACGTGTTGAACATCTCATGTTATTTATTGAATGCACTGTAAAGTACAATATTGGTTGTGTTCTACATGATCGTGTGGCTGACTGGGAACTGTGGCTTGCTGCCACTGCCCAGCATCACAAGAGAATATCATACTGTATATCGCCAGCCCAGGACAGATCAAAATTTAAAGCAAGGTACCGAATGCATATTGCTTTTGCACCATGGTAAAGTTGAAAAATCATTACGTTGAACCATCATAAGTCAGGAACTGTCTGTATCCATCAACATTTAAAATGCTCAACCCTTCTGCTCAGCACTTTGTTTTTTAGAAATTTATTTTCTCCATATTTTACATGTTCTCAAAGACATACATACAAGCATACTCATGACAGCATTGTTTATAGTGGCAAAAGATTAGAAACTACTTAAATGTCCAGTAGGGGCAATACTTAGATAAATTATAGTCTATCCATGAAGTGAGATGGATAAATTTGTATGTGCTCATATGAAATGATCTCCAAAGTATACGATTAAGTGTGAAAAACATAGTGTGCCTGCTGCCACTGAATGACGAAAGGGGTGGAGTAGGAAGCTATACATACACAGACACATGTCTGCTTAAGTGCATAGATTATTTCTAAAAGGATGTGCAAGAAATTGGTAGCAGGCTCCTCTAGAGTGATCAGGGAAGCTCCCTGTTTGAATTATTTTTCAATGCATCATTATATTTTTTAATCAAAGGACTCTTTTTTTTTTTTTAAAGGACTCTTAAAATGAAGTAATTCCCTCCCTTTACTATGTCTGAGACCACACTCAATTTACTTATATTTTTTGTTAGACAACAAGCCTTTTGTAAACCTTTTCATAATCAAACAAGAAATAAATTTAAGTTTCTGGTTTTGTAATCAGCAGTAAAGAGTACCTCTTTGAATAGAATCTTTTCTTTCTCTTTATGATTTTTAGTATGCTGTAGAGATTGAAAAACTTGAAAATAAATCATAATTTTAATGAAATTCAAAAAGTGTTATAAAGGTCCACATGCCCATGTGTCCAGTCAGCTAGTTCTTGAGTGCAACTAAATGGAAAGAAATAACATAATAAAATGATACTGAAGAAAAGCAACTTAATAAAAATTCTACCTATCTTATCTAGGCTCATGGATTTGAAATCTTATGTTCCAAATGTGGCCCACATTTTTCTGACTCCAAGAAATCCCATGTGACTACCTCACCACTTTGGGCCAGCTTCCTTGAAAGTCTGAAAAAGAATGATTACTTTAAGGTAGGACTTCAATGTTTTTTTTGTTTTGGGGGGGTTGGTTTTATTATTTGGAAATAGAGTCTCACTCTTTTGCCCTGGCTAGAGTGCAGTGACATCATCATAGCTCACTGCAACCTCCAATTCCTGGGCTCCACTGACCCTCCTGCCTCAGTCTCCCGAGTAGCCCAGACTATAGGTACGCACCACCATGCCTGGCTAATTTTTTCTATTTTTAGTAGAGACCAGATCTTGCTCTTGCTCAGGCTGGTCTCGAACTCCTGAGCTCAAGTTGATCCTCCTGCCTTGGCCTCCCAGAGTGCTAGGATTACAGACATGACCCTCCACACCTGGCCTTGCAATGTATTTTTTAAGTGTACATTCCAGGGAAAATCAAGCCAGTGATTTAAAGTCCTATGGTCCATATTTCCATGTATAGAAGCTAGAGTTAAAGGAGACCTTTCTAGTTCTATGAGGCCTTGGAAGATGGTAATGAAAGGGTGTCTATAAGCTGTTTGCAATATTAGAAAAAAACTAATACTGTTTAAGTGATAGAAATTATTATTTGTATCAGATGAACAACTCGCAAAACTTGGTAAAGCAAATATGAGACCACCAGATAGGAAAATTAGCAAATATATAGGATAAAATAATTACAAAAAGCCAATTAGTAAATTTCTCTTAAAATATTCAACTTCACAAGTAGTAAAGATATATATATGAACACAATAATGAAGACTATTGTTATTGTCTGTACAAAAGGATATGAATGATATTCTGTGCTGTTAAAAGTATGGTAAAATTAATACTCCTATACATTGCTAGTAATATTGTAAATTGGTAGAACCTTAACTCAAAAATAATTTGGTTATGTTTTCCAAGGGCCATAGAAAGGTTCAAATTCAGAACCTTCACTTCAAATATTCTTTTTAAGGAAATGTCCAAGAATTTAAAAAGTCCATAAAAATGTAATTAGTATAAAGACTGCAGCAATATGAAAACGTGCTTATGATATTATAGTTTATTTTAAAAAAATATAAAATGTTTTTAAAATGTTAAGTATGAATACCACTTTTAAATATGCATGTATAAAACACAAATGAGGTTGGGTGTGGTGGCTGATGCCTGTAATCCCAGCACTTTGGGAGGCTGAAGTGGGAAGATTGCTTGAGGCCAGGAGTTTGAGACCAGCCTGGGCAAGATAGTGAGACGTCATCTCTACAAAAAAAAGAAAAAAAAATTAGCTGGGCATGGTTATGAGTGCCTGTAGTCCCAGCTACTCAGGAAGTTTAGGCAGGCGGATGGCTTGAGTACAGGAATTCAAAGTTACAGTGAGCTATGATTGCACCACTGTACTCCAACCTAGGCAGCAGAGCAAGATCATGTCTCAAAAACAAAAACAAAACCCCAGAAATGGTAGTTATGGTGGGATTGTACCATTTGGGGTTCTATTTGGCAAGCTTTCTATACTTTGTTTTATGAATTACTAGTTAATCAGTTTTGGGTGTTTCTTTTCTATTTTTAGAGACACGTCTTGCTCTGTCACTCAGGCTGGAGTGCAGTGGCACACTCATAGCTCACTATAACCTCAAACTCCTGGGCTAAAGGGGTCCTCCCACCTCAGCCACCCTAGTGGCTAGGACCACACCTGGCTAATTCTTAAAATTTTTTTTTATAAAGACAAGGATCTCCACGCCTGTAATCCTAGCACTCTGGGAGGCTGAGGCGGGTGGATTGCTCGAGGTCAGGAGTTCGAAACCAGCCTGAGCAAGACGCCATCTCTATTATAATAGAAGAAATTAATTGGCAACTAATATATATAGAAAATTAGCCGGACATGGTGGCGCATGCCTGTAGTCTCAGCTACTTGGGAGGCTGAGGCAGAAGGATTGCTTGGGGCCAGGAGTTTGAGGTTGCTGTGAGCTAGGCTGACGCCACGGCACTCACTCTAGCCTGGGCAACAAAGTGAGACTGTCTCAAAAAAAATAAAAAATAAAAAAAGACAAGGGTCTCACTATGTTGCTCAGGCTGATCTCAAACTCCTGACCTCAAATGATCCTCCCGCCTGGCCTCTCAGAGTGCCGGGATTATACATGTGAGCCACTGTACCTAGCCATCAGTTATATTTTAATAAGTGATTAAATAATAGAAAATGGTAAAAGAAAGAAAAAACCTCCCAACTGGAAAGAGGTTCTTAATGGTGAAAAGGATTAGGAACCACTACATCTAGCCTAGTCCCCGCACTTGAAGAAACCAGAGCTCAAACAGGTACATCAATGACAAAACAAGTGTTCACCTGCTTCTCTTTTGATGAAAAAAAAAAAAAAAAATGACAAAACAGGGACTAGGACTTGGGCCTCTTGATTCCTGAGCAGTACATTGTGTCATACTCTGCCTCCCTGAGCATTGCTGGGGAACAGGTTATTTTAATGACACCATGTAAGTCATGTTCTGATAGATTATTATTTTTTTTTTAGGGACTGATAGAAGGTTCTGCTCAGTACCAGGAAAGGCTAGAAATGGCAAAGAACTACTTCCAGCTCTCAGTAAACCGGCCAGAAAGGTGAGTTATAGTTAAGACTTCTACCACAAAGTTAGATAGCTTTGCAATTGGGTAGTTCTTTTTAAATAATAAAGTTTGTTTTTTGTTGTTATGAAAATAATATATTCATTCATTATAACAAATATAGGAAGATGTGAGAAGGAAAAAATTTATACCAGAGAGTCAACCACTATTTATCATTTTGATTTATTGCCCTTCAGGGTTTTTTTTTTTTTTGAGACAGAGTCTCGCTTTCTTGCCCAGGCTAGAGTGAGTGCCGTGGTGTCAGCCTAACTCACAGCAACCTCAAACTCCTGGGCTCAAGCCATCCTCCTGCCTCAGCCTCCCGAGTAGCTGGGACTACAGGCACGAGCCACCATGCCCGGCTGATTTTTATATTATATATATTAGTTGGCCAATTAATTTCTTTCTATTTTTATGGTAGAGACAGGGTCTCTCTCACTCAGGCTGGTTTTGAACTCCTGACCTTGAGCAATCCGCCCGCCTCGGCCTCCCAGAGTGCTAGGATTACAGGCGTGAGCCACCGCGCCTGGCCAGGGTTTTTTTTTTCCAGTTGATTTTTTTATATTTATAAAAATTTTAAGCTGGGCTCAGTAGCTCATGCTTATAATCCTGGCACCCTGGGAGCCAAAGCGGGAGGATTGCTTGAGGACAGGAGTTTGAGATCAGCCTGAGCAAGAGTGAGACCCTGTCTCTACTAAAAAAAATAGAAAAATTAGCCAGGCGTCATGTTGCACACCTGTAGCCCAGCTACTTGGGAGGCTAACACAGGATGATCGCTTGAGCCCAGGAGTTTGAGGTTGTAGTGAGCTATGATGATGCCACAGCACTCTACCTGGGGCAACAGAGCAAGACTGTCTCAATAAAAAAACATTTTATATCCTGTACATAATATTTACTCATCGGGATCTTACATTTTTCAGAGCATTATAAAGTCTTTATAAACATAATTTTAAATAGTTGCATAATATTTCAGCAAATGGATGTACCATAATTTACCCAATATATTTTTATCATTGGGGTAGAAAGCTGTAAGTAGCTTAAATGTCCAACATTTTAATTAATGTTGCAGGGAAGACTCCCATTCCCCATACCAGGATAATTTTTAAACAGTTTAAAACCAAACTTACATCTCCCTGTGGACCTGTTGTTGAATTCCCAAGGTTTGGGTTTTTTCAATGGCTGAATTAATATCATAGACTTTTCCACAGTGTCTTTTCTTAGTACCACCATCCTTATTACCCAGACCCCCTGGCTCTCCTTGGATCCAGTCCGTACATCCATTTTATTATCATCTTGTGTCTTGCATTCCTTTTTATTACTTGCTGCTCTAATTACTTATTTCCTGAACTGTGGTAATACCTAAACTTCTTTTCCAACCTCTAGTAACTCTTTCAATTCAACCATTAGAGCCAGGGAAATCTACTTAAAATATATCTCTAGGGGAAGGAGGGGGAAATATATATATGTATCATGCCACTCTCCTCTCCTTAAAATTGTTAGATACTTAGAAAAAATTGTTAAGAGATTATAATAGTGAAAAATTACAAGCAACTGAAGTATCCATCAATAAAGGATAAATGAATCACAGTGTATTTATATGATGCACTACTATCCAGTAGTTAACCAGAGATTAGCTAAATATAAATATATGTAATTTAGAATATCTCAGCCTTAGTGCTATTGACATTTTGGACCAGATAATTCTTTGTTGTGAGCAACTGGCTTGTGCACTGTAGGATGTTTAACAGCATCCTGGCTTCTACCCAGTAAATACACCAGTAGTATTCCTCCCCTCCACAAATTGTGCCAGAATGTCTCCAAACATTGCTATATGTCCCCTGGGGGACAAAATTATCCCCAATTGAGAACCACTGATCTAAATAAATAGATTCCAGAAACATAATGTTGAGTGAAAAAAGCAAGATGTAAATATGTACAGTATGGATGCTATACATATAAAATTTTTAAATATACAAAATACTATATATTATTTATGGATACATATGCATTCATTTATTCAACAAATATTTATTGAGTGCCTCCTGTGTGCCAGGCCCTATTCCAGATGCTGAGGATACAACAAATGAACCCAAAGTGACCCTGCCCTTAAGAAGTTCACATGCTAGTATAGGAGAAAGACAATAAACCATTGTGTGATGTGAAATGGTAATAAATGCTATGAAAAAAACCAGTGTATGGAAGGAGAGAGGTAGAATCTGCTCTTCTAGATAGATTGGTCAAGAAAGGCCTTTCAAGATAGTTTTCTCTGAGAAGGGACCTGAATGAAGTGAAGGAATGAGGCATTCAGATATTTGGAGGAATAACATTCCAGATAAAAAGAACAAACAGGCAGCGCATGGCAGCTCACGCCTGTAATCCTAGCACTCCGGGAGGCCGAGGCAGGAGGATTGCTTGAGGTCAGGAGTTTGAGGTTGCTGTGAGCTAGGCTGACCCCAGAGGACTCACTCTAGCCCAGACAACAAAGCAAGACTGTCTCAAAAAAAGAAAAAGAAAAAGAAAAAAAAAATATATATATATACACACACACACACAGCTAAATTGTATTCCCAGAATATGCTGTAATTTAATCACTTCCCTACATATGAACATTTGAGTTTGTTGATATAACAGTGTTGGAGTAAATATTCTTGTGCATTTAAATAAAGTCTTCCAGCTGGGTGCGGTGGCTCATGCCTGTCGTCCTAGCTTTCTGGGAGGCCAAGGCGGGCGGATAGCTGCTGCTTCAGGGGTTTGACACCAGCCTGAACACAGCCTGAGCACAGTTGGACCCCGTCTCTAAATCTAAAAAAAAAGTAAAAACAGTCTTCCATATTCATTACAACGTAACTCAAATACCTCCTCCCTGAAGCCTTCCATTATTTCTCTTTTTTTAACTTCTCTGCCCTCATCTCAATGAAAGTAATTACTTTCTCTCTAGCATTTGATATTCTAGAATGACTTTTATTTTGCCTTTTGCTATGATTATTTGGGTATTTCTTTTCTCTCTCTTAATAATGTTTTTGAAATATGGAGTAGGGGCAATTTCCCATCACCCACATGATTTTGTGAGGGGTGCAAATGTTTATTAAATTAATGTTAAGTCCTTTATACAACTTGATTTGCTCCATTCTTAATTGTTCAGACTGGGTTTCATCAATTTGCTCCATTCTTAATTGTTCAGACAGGGTTCCATCAATCATGCTGACTATTATAGAATAACTCACTCATCATATAAATTATCTCTGTGCATATTTCCTCATCAGTTTATAGTAGGAACAGCACAAAATAGTTGCAGGAGACTTGATTTCAAGCCTTTATTCTGTCCAACTCAATGACCTTGCAGAATTTGTAGAACTTCTCTGGACTCTGGTTTTTTCATCTGTAAAACAGGCATATTACCTTCTCATAATAGTATTAATACTTAGAAGAATAAATAAGAAAATGTATTTAAAATGCTAACATACCATATAATATGTGCTAGATTAATTTTAATTCATACTTTCCTTCTGGATCTTCTTTTCCTACTATGAAAAATATGTATAAATTGAAAGAGTTGCACTGGATCAGTAGTTTCATAACAGTGTTCCATAGAGCCTGCTGCAGAGCCAAAGGTGAAGGCAAATGGGTGGGTCTCTGAGCCTGCATCCTCCATTTTAAGCAGAGCCATTTTTCTTTGAGTTGTTCTGTATTTTAAAGTTCCTTATAAAATTGTATTTGAAGAAAAGGGGTCTGCAACCTAAAAAAATATTTACAAATAAATCAGAGCCGGCTACAGTGGTACATGCCTATAGTCCCAGCTCCTCAGGAGGCTGCAGCTGGAAGAATGGTTGAGCCCAGGAGTTTGAGGCCAACCTGGGCAATATAGCTAGATCTCTTCTCTAAACAAAAAAACAAAGAACAAAACAAATTAGACTAGTTAATTCTTTCTAGGTTTAAAATGCTATGTTTTTATGATTACTATTCTGGGTTCTCTTATAAAGAAATAATCATGTCTTTTATTTTTTATAGTTCTCTTGCCATGAGCCCAGGTGAAGAAATCTTAACCTTATTACAGACAATACCACTTGAGATAGAAGAGCTTAAGAAAGAAGAGGCTAGTCTTCCCCCAGAGGATGGTAAGTGAGGGACCAAGATAGAACAGAAAGATTAAAAAAATTAAAACATTCCACTAAGTCTCACAGGGTCCTTTCCCAAGAGTACCTGTCATGTGACTGTAGAATGGCAATATCGTGCTTTCTCCTTTTTCAGATGACCAGTGGTTAGATCTCTCACCAGATCAGCTGGACCAGCTACTGCAGGAAGCTGCTGGCAAAAAAGAATCAGAACCCATTTCCAAGGAAGAGAAGGAGCAGAACTATGACTTAACTCAAGTCTCAGAGAGCATGAAAGCTTTCATATCTAAAGTCTCAACTCACAAGGGAGCAGAGCTGCCTAGGTAATTTGTGTTAAAGTATAAATATATAAATAGTTAGAACCCAAATGTTAAGCTCATCAGTCACTGCATTTCCACTCAATATTTTTCTTTTGAATAAATGATTTGCACTGCTTTTTATGTGTGTGTGTGTGCTAGTATGGTGATAACTTACTTACCTAAAGTCAGATTTCTAGTAGGCTCAGCCTTTGCAATCCATGAAGTAAGCCAGAAACGTCACTCAACAGATCTGAAAGCCACCATCTAGAACCATGCAGGGAAACCCTGTGCTTTACTCTTTAGATTTTTACTCAGAGCCTATGTGCTTAATGTTAGCTTTCAGTAAGCTCAGACTTCTAATCTTCCCCCTACAAGAAGATTGAAAGCTTCAAACTCAAAAGAAGGGGATAAAAGGATTCATCAGAGGCAGAAATAGTAACAGAAGACATGTGAAATTACATTTGGCAAGTAACAGGTGTTACTTGCATGGTAAACATTTTTATTAGTATTGATCCTCTTAGAGCCTAATGAAAAGAGTAAAATTTATGTTTGGTTATCTCTTTAAGAAAGCAGGGATAAGGAAAGGTATGTCTTATTTATTTTTTAAGCTTTAGTTCTTAAAGGGATAGGCTTTATTTAAATTAACTCCGATAAATAACTTTTTGCTAATGCTGGATATGTCTTGAAGGATAAAGAGTAGGTCCCTAAATTAACCTTAGTTAACTGTGCATAAACAAGGTATGGTTTTTACTTTTTTTTTTATCAGACTTTCCCATTTCTGTTGCCCTTCAAGGCCAGTAAGCATAGGATTTTTAAAACTTAAAACTACAATTTTCCACACTGTGCTGTCTTTGAGATTGTATCTTTGGTAGTTTTCCTAAGAATGGTACCACTTTTGCATTCAGGATAAATTGTCCTTTTCCTTTAATCTTACAGAGAACCTTCTGAGGCTCCAATCACTTTCGATGCAGATTCTTTTCTTAATTATTTTGATAAGATTTTAGGTAAGTTACAGTGTGATGTTTACTTTCATTTTGAAACTGTAAGTAGTATGGCTATTGCTAGAGCATTGGAACATTAGATAACTCAGAAACCAAAATAGTTGCTTTCTCTTCATGGTTTTGAGTTGTTTTCAACCATGAATTACTACCCTATTGAATGATTTTGTAAAGGCTGCCTCATTCTGTGCTTAACATAGTAGCTACCCATTAAATATTTGTTGAGTAAATGAATGTTGTATGTTTAGATAGGGTTTTAACTTGGCTCCTATATTATATTTTTTTTCTCTTTGAGATTTACTGTACTTACAGGTCAATAAGAAAAAGACAAATAGGCCAATTTAAAAAATCATATTTATATATGTACAGAACTGCAGAGATAAAAGTTCTGGATGCCCATCAAACTTAAAAGATGCTTACCTGCGGTGACAGAGTGAGATAAGAGACAATACTTCTGTGTGGCTTGAATGTTTACATCAAAATATATTCATATATTACATGATTTTAAATTTTTTAAGAAAAATATTTTAATTTACTTTTTTTTAAAGCTAAATCTTTTGGTTCAGACTGTGCACTTTTCCACAAATATCTGCCAGCATTACCATTTGTGGAAGGGATTTTTGTGAAGTAGATTGATTATATTAGTCCTTTACTGTGGGTAACATTCTAATTCTTTTGAGACGTGTAGTCACTCAAAAGAAAAAAAAAATGTACCAAGTGGCTCTTTCTGTGTTGGGGTCTGTGTAGGACCAAGGCCTCACGAGTCAGACTCTGATGATCTGGATGAGGAAGACTTTGAATGTTTAGACAGTGATGATGACTTGGACCTCGAAATGCAGGACTCTAGCAAAGAGGCTTCTCTGAAAGGAGCTCTTAATAATCTCAAGTCGTACATGGCCCAGATGGACCAGGAACTGGCACACACCAGCATTGGCAAAAGTTTCACCACCCGAAAGCAAGTGGTATGTATGTTTTTAACCTTTTTCCCTTTCTGAGTCTGTTATATTGGATAGCTAAAATCATATTTTTTTGATGTGTGAGATTTAAAATAAATAAGAATGCTAATTTTTTCCTAATTCTAGTAGGATACAGGATTATAAACTTTATTTTCCTAAACATAAGCTTTATTATGTTACTTGTTCTATGTTATCTATCAGGATTTTAAATAAAAATGCATGTAATGCGCTCAAATTAGTATGTGGTTGCATAGTACTACTGTGAACAGCTTACTTAATGAATTTTTAAAGAGAGAGTATCTTAAATATCCAAATAACTATCAAATCTTAATAGTTTTGTATATTTCTCTAATTTAGAGCCATATTTAGAATTAATCTTCCATTTATGTTTTGTTGTTCTTTTTTGAGACATAGTCTCACTTTGTTGCCCAGGCTAGAGTGAGTGCCATGGCATCAGCCTAGCTCACAGCAACCTCAAACTCCTGGGCTTAAGCAATCCTACTGCCTCAGCCTCCCAAGTAGCTGGGACTACAGGCATGCGCCACCATGCGGCCCGGCTGGTTTTTTCTATCTATATTGGCCAATTAATTTCTTTCTATTTCTAGTAGAGACAGGGTCTCACTCTTGCTCAGGCTGGTTTCGAACTCCTGACCTCCAGCAATCCGCCCACCTCAGCCTCCCAGAGAGCTAGGATTACAGGCGTGAGCCACTGTGCCCAGCCCCATTTATGTTTTTATCCAAGTTTTTATGCCACCACTGTCTAACCCTAGAAAGAGCCATTATGGAAAGGGCATGGACCCTAGAGTCTTATGGGTTAGGTTAGGGTTTGAAATCCAGCTCAGCCATGCACTGTGAATGTATCTATTAACCAGTAACTCTCTTGTCATAGAATTAATATGAGAACCAAATGAGACAACAATAAAACCTATAATGGATCCTTAATGTTAATTCCCCTTGCTTTGATCATCTAAACCACATTTAAACCTATATTCACTTTCAGTATTGCCAAAATGTAATAGAAACCATACATTAGATTTATTTAAAGCAGTATTTTTTAAATTTTAATATGAATATAAACCACCTAGGATCTTGTTATAATAGATTCTGATTAAGCAAGTCTAGAATAAACCTGAGATTTTCTATTTCTAACAAGCCCCAAGTGATGCAGCTCCTGCTGGTCCATGAACTACATTTTGAGTAGCAAGGATATAAAAGTCTATAGATCAAGCTGTAATCTTTCAAATCCTTTCCCAGCCTGTGAAATCAGAGGCCAAAGTAACAATTCATACTCTTTGTAGTTGGGTCCACAAAGCCTCATGTTTTTACTTTAAGCTTTTTTGGGGGCAAAAAAGGAAATCTAGCTTCTTTTATTTAGAGGAAAATTTAGATTCTTATGTCTTTTTTTTTTTTTTTTTTGAGACAGAGTCTCACTTTGTTGTCCAGGCTAGAGTGAGTGCCGTGGCGTCAGCCTAGCTCACAGCAACCTCAATCTCCTGGGCTTGAGTGATCCTTCTGCCTCAGCCTCCCGAGTAGCTGGGACTACAGGCATGCGCCACCATGCCCGGCTAATTTTTTATATATATATCAGTTGGCCAATTAATTTCTTTCTATTTATAGTAGAGACGGGGTCTCGCTCTTGCTCAGGCTGGTTTTGAACTCCTGACCTTGAGCAATCCGCCCGCCTCGGCCTCCCAAGAGCTAGGATTACAGGCGTGAGCCACAGCGCCCGGCCTCTTATGTCTTTTTATGTTCATTTTTATGTTTCTTTTAAAACTCCCAGCAACTTATAAATGTTCCTTCAGAATTCTGGTTATCTCCTTTGGGCTAGTTCAAAATAGAGACAAAATCCATTTAATTTGTAGAAATTTTTCTCTAGAACCAAGTTTTAATATGTGTGTTAAATCACATAGTCTATTAGACTGCATTTTCACTTTATATTTCAAAGGATAAGAAATTTCCTTTTTAATTTGGAATTCAAGTTTACATTGTTGCTTAGTTAGCTTTTTACTGTAACCACCATCCAACCTAATGGTAATTATCCCCTGATCTTTTCCTTCCATTAATAAGGAACCCGTATTCCAGACTACCAATAACAATTCAGATGAGGAAGATTCTGGGAGAGGAGAATCTGTTATGGCACCAGTGGATGTAGATCTGAACCTGGTTTCAAATATATTGGAATCCTATAGTTCCCAAGCTGGACTGCCAGGACCTGCTTCTAACCTTTTACAAAGCATGGGAGTGCAACTGCCTGACAACACCGATCACAGACCCACAAGTAAGCCAACAAAAGATTAACCAGTACATCCACCTTCTCTTTTTTTCTTTTTGAATAAATATTGAGTCTGATTCTGTTCATTTCCAGTTTATTCATTTAGTGAAAATGTTTCTTCATTACAAGTTTCACAGGTTGACTTCTCCATGAGCCCCAGCTGTTGCCCTCTCTGCACAAGTCTTTGTGATCTCAACTCCAGAGTACACAAAGAATGGTTTTGAAGTCAGCAGGATATAATCTATCCCCTAGACAGCTTCTGAGATGAGATTTATACACTCTACGTTAACAGCATACCCTACCACTACACAATTACACCCTTGGTGTAATTCCGGAAGTTTAATTTCTTCCTTACCTCTATTTAGTCTTAGGTCAAAATTCCAAGTTGGCAAATTTGGATTTGATAACTTACTTGCTTTTTCTTTCTAATTTTTAATGAGGAATGACATCTGTATAGTTAAGTACACAAATATTTTTTTTTTTTTTTTTTTTTTTTTGAGACAGAGTCTCATTTTGTTGCCCAGGCTAGAGTGAGTGCCATGGCATATTAGCCTAGCTCACAGTAACCTCAAACTCCTGGGCTCAAGCAATCCTTCTGCCTCAGCCTCCCAAGTAGCTGGGACTACAGGCATGCACCACCATACCTGGCTAATTTTTTCTATATATATTAGTTGGCCAATTAATTTCTTTCTATTCATAGTAGAGACGGGGTCTCCTCTTGCTCAGGCTGGTTTCGAACTCCTGACTTCGAGCAATCCACCCGCCTCGGCCTCCCAGAGTGCTAGGATTACAGGCGTGAGCCACCACGCCCGCCCACAAATCTTAAGTGTACAGTGAATTTTTGCATGTATGTGCCTGAACCAAGATAGAGAACTTACTTACTTTTTTAATAACAGCTATTTTTTTTTTTTTTTTGGTAGAGACAGGGCCATGCTATGTTGCCTAGGCTGGTCTTGAAGTCCTGGCCTCAAGCAGCCCTCCCACCTTGGGAGGCATGAGCCACCACACCTGGCCAATAACAGCTATTTTGAGATATAATTCACATACCAAAAAATCTACCCTTTTAAAGTATATAATTCAGTGAGGGTTTTTTTAGTGTATTTATAAAATTATGCAACCATTACCACTAATTCCAAAATATTTTCATCACCCCACAAAGAAACCTTATGGTCATTAATACCTTCTCATTCTCTCATCCTCCCAGCACGTAGAAATCACTACTCTATTTTCTGTCTCTATGGATTTGCTTATTTTGGACACTTTATACATCGATACTGTACTTAATTATTTTAATTAGTTAATTGAGATTTGATATTTAATATAATTGATCTATTACTTAAATGAAATATATTTTCTTCTTAAGATGATTCTTATAGTCCTCCTAAAATGAATCAAGTCTTATCTATAAACAGCTCCATAGACTGACCATGTTTTTATAATCTAGGTCCCTGGTTTTTCCTTTATGTGATTGTGTGCAGCAGAGAGATGCCCTTACTGTATCTTACACTATGAAAATAAAGATAGTGGAAGTGATTCCCTATTTCCCCCTCTCCGGGGACCAAGGGAGGAATAAGGAAAGTGGTATAGTAGAGTTCATATTTGGGAACATACTATCACAAACTTTTAAACTAAATATGCTATACCCCACCCCAATCCTCCCTCTTCTTACTTTTACAGTGGTGTTCACTGACATGAGCTAAGGAAGAGGGAAAGTGTTACACACTGGTTAAATGCATCAGATGAAGGTGTTTCTTTTTATTACATAGGGCAACATTTTAACATTTTAAACAATGTTAATTTAAATGTTTTAAATAAATACATTCCTGTTATTTGAAGCTATATTTCACATGTTAAAAATGAGGTTCCAGCCGGGCGCTGTGGCTCACGCCTGTAATCCTAGCTCTTGGGAGGCTGAGGCGGGCGGATTGCTCAAGGTCAGGAGTTCAAAACCAGCCTGAGCAAGAGCGAGACCCCGTCTCTACTATAAATAGAAAGAAATTAATTGGCCAACTGATATATATATAAAAAATTAGCCAGGCATGGTGGCGCATGCCTGTAGTCCCAGCTACTCGGGAGGCTGAGGCAGAAGGATCACTCAAGCCCAGGAGTTTGAGGTTGCTGTGAGCTAGGCTGACGCCACGGCACTCACTCTAGCCTGGACAACAAAGCGAGACTCTGTCTCAAAAAAAAAAAAAATGAGGTTCCAGAATGCTATCCCAGCTTGACTATCAGAAAAAGTTTTCCCCACAATGTATTTATGGTACATTGTTTATCTTCATTGAGAATTAAATGTTGGGTAGATAAAGGGCAGTACACAGACAAAAATAAGAAATGAATGAGTTGTTTTTTTTATTCCAGCTACCAAGGTAACTGACCTTCAGTCAGGCTTACTCTGGTGACAAATTTGTTTTTAGGTTTTACCTTTTTTGCTATTCTGCATCATGGACCTAGCTGAGTTCTATTTATCCTTAGCACCTTCATAATTCATTGCCACATATATATTCTCCAGCCATGTAAGCCCCTTACCAAAGTTTGTTATTTATCTGCCATTTTCAAGTACCCCAACCCTGGCCTCTCCTGCCTCATGTTTCTAATATCCTTGTAGTTCTATAGCAAATCCCTCCTCCCACTCACTGTTGGAAAACAAAGTTCAGTGTTGTAGCTCCTCCTATTAGCCACTCTCATCTTTTCTTTCCCAGAAAAACACATTAATCAAAAAGCAAACAGTTACTCCATGGTTAAGTTTGAGAAACTCATAACCAGGAATCCTGCACACTCCCCTATCGGTATTTTCAGATTGGGAATGTGTACACATGTGCTCACAAACACACCCACATAGAGATAGAAAAGATTGGGAGATGCTAGCACACATGGACCCTGAACTGTTTTCTTCTAACTGCAAGATATGAAGAAATCTCAGGACCTCTCTTACGAGAGTGCTTTTCTCTTCTGCATACTAGGTTCAGCCCGGGTAAAGGCAAGCTGCCAATCTAACAAGATAGTCAAGTCCCATCACATATTATCTCTCAGCATTTCCCGATAGAGGCTCATTGGTTTCCCCAAAGCAATGATGGTTTGCTGGCCCCTTTTGGATCAAAAGGAAATTCAGTGCTTTAACTTTTCTAGTTCTAGTATCTCTTTTGCTTAGTCCTTTTGCTTATGAGACATTGATGTATGAATAACCTAGGGCGGGGGTCCTCAAACTACGGCCCATGGGCCATATGCGCCCCGGGTGTTTTTGCTGCCTCTGCCTGTCCCACAGTGCGCATGTGTGGAATGTGCGCTGCACTCTCCAGCGGCCCTCCAATGGTCTGAGGGACAGTGAACTGGCCCCCTGTTTAAAAAGTTTGAGGACCTCTGATCCTAGGGTCTCTGGAGCTTGTGTCTTTAATCACCAATTAGGGCAGAGATTCTTCTGAAGATAGGAGTCTTTCCCCAGCCATTCCTCTTTTTAATCATACCTCTAACAGTAATTCTTCTGCACATTACTTCAGTCGTTCACAGACTAGGAACCTGGACTTAAATATTTAATTGTCATACTGATAAAGAGATCCTCTCCCCTACCCCAAGTTCTCACTTTCTAAAATTTTATCCATTCACAGGACAGAAAAATACATCTAAACAAAGGTGTGGAAATATATTTATTTCCCTTATGACAAGGTACAGAATGGCATATATGAATGATGAAAAATCCTAAGTTTAGTTTATCCCATAAAGTTGAAGAAATAGTTTAGATTTGGCATTTGTTTATCTTCACTAATCTCTTGGTTACAGTTAATCAACACTTAGTGGGTGTACAAATACCAGCTGTTTTATATTTAGGAAAACAGGCATGAGAAAGTGATAGTCTTTTCCCTAAGTCACAAACTGGGTAAGTAACAGAGCTGAAAATAGCAAAAGAGATTTACCATCGTGAGTCCCACTGAGATTAAACTCCTTCAACAGAGCCTCATTGCATCTGGTTTATATTGCACAGTATTCTGAGGTAGACTTTAGCTTTTACCTTCCTCATTCCTTCAAATGACTTAAATATGACTTTTATTTAACTACCACATACAACAATGTACCTGTGCATGAATTCAAAAATGTTATATTGTGCTATTTTTCTTAATTCTGTGAGGATAAAAAGTAACTCAGTAGTGACTTGAAATTTGCTATACATTCTCAATAACAAGAGCCTATATCCAAACTAATGCTTTACCCTTCTCTCTGATTTTTTTTAAATTTTTAAAATTTTATTTATTTATTTTTTTTATAGAAAGCATCTCACTTTGTTGCCCAGACTAGAGTTCTGTGTTATCATCATAGCTCACTGCAACCTCAAACTCCTGGGCTCAAGCGATCCTACTGCCTCAGTCTCCCAAAGTGCTAGGATTATAGGAATGAGCCACCACAACCAACCTTCCCTCTAAGTTTGATAGTTGACGTCTCATCAATTTTTTTCTCACACTGGCATTTTGGATTGCTCATTAGTAGGAACTTCTTTCATTGATGCTTCCCACGGTAGGCTCACCTTCTGTTCTGCCTTATGAGGTTGGCCTGAAGCTGGCCTTTGTCATTTCCCCTTTGCCAATTGATATCTGGTGTGCCCCTCAGGCATTCCAAGAAGAGGGATCTAGGTGACTTGATCTGGGCTAGGCAGGCAGAGAAGAATGGGTCTGTTTTTCTACCCACTCCTTAATCAGTTGGTGGGCAATGGCTAATTTGGGGGGCAACCAGAATGGGAAAGTCTCATTCTGTTGCTGAATATTAGGGCCCTTCCTCCTCAGGGCTGTGGCCACTTCATCATGACTAAACCAGGCAGCTGCCTCTAATTCTCTCAAGTTCACCTGGATCTGAAAGACATAAGGAAAAAAAGGATATAAGATTAGGAGCTACAGCTACAAAATTTAGAATACTATTATGACCAAAGGTGACATACTAAAAGGTGATATACTAATATGGCCAAAGGTGACAAAATGGCTCCAGAATTAAGCAATCTTAGAAGATAATACCTGGCATCTACAAGTTAGGTCAAAAACAGTTCTAGATATTGCCCAGAAGCAAAAGAGATATAATTAAGAGATAAAAATTAAATATATTTTTAAAATAGTAAAAAAAATGTGTAATATACATTTTAAAAAATCCTGAAAGTACAAATACTAAAATATTAAGTGGTTAACATTAAGGGGTAAATTATATATAATATCTATTTTTCTTTGTGCCTCTATTATATAAATCTTTCAATTAAAAAAGAATGTACAAAAAAAGATGAAATCCGACCATTTGTAACAACATGGATGGAACTGGAGAACATTATGTTAAGCCAAGCACAGAAAGGCAAATTTTACACATTCTCACTCTCATGTGGGAGCTAAATATTAAACACAATTGATCTCATGGAGACAGACAGTAGAATGATGGTTACCAGAGGCTCGTAGGGTAGCGAGGGGTAGGGAGATAAAGTGGGGGTGGTTAATGGGTGCAAAAATATAGTTAGAATGAACAATATTTGATAACACAGTAAAGTGACTGTAAGCAACAATAAGTTAGAGTATACTTTAAAATAACTAAGAGTGGAATCAGAATGTTCCTAACACAAAAAAAAATGATAAATGCCTGAGGTAATGGATACTCCAATTACCTTGATTTGGCTAATTCACATTGTATGCCTGTATCAAAATACCACACGTGGCCGGGCGCTGTGGCTCACGCCTGTAATCCTAGCTCTTGGGAGGCCGAGGCGGGTGGATTGCTCAAGGTCAGGAGTTCAAAACCAGCCTGAGCAAGAGCGAGACCCCGTCTCTACTATAAATAGAAAGAAATTAATTGGCCAACTGATATATATATATATAAAAAAATTAGCCGGGCATAGTGGCGCATGCCTGTAGTCCCAGCTACTCGGGAGGCTGAGGCAGGAGGATCGCTTGAGCCCAGGAGTTTGAGGCTGCAGTGAGCTCTGATAATGGCGTTATACTCCAGCCTGGTTTCCAAAAAAAAAAAAAAAAAACAACAACAAAAAAAAAAAAACAAAATACCACACGTATCTTATAAAGATATAAAACTATTATGTACCAACAATAATCAAAAATTTTTTTTAATTTTAAAAAGAATATACAAATGTTGCTCTTTTTTTTTTAAAGGATAGGGGTTAACAATAATCAAAAGCATAGCATCTTGTTTGCAAAAAGTAAAGTAATGCAAACTTTGTACACAGGAAGCTGAGACAGATTAGATATTCTATAAAAACCAAAGCACACAATAGGCAGACTTTGGCAGGCAGGGACCATCTGTCAGGGATGCTACAGAAGTGCAAGATGAGGTTGGATAACTAAGTCTCTTTCAACTAGTTCCTATAATTTTATATCATTAGTCGTCAACACCCTGACCAGCTTGACATCCTGAAATCAGTTACTGAATTTGATGTATTTATCACGTGCCTACTATATGCAAGATACTCTTAAGTCTTGACAATAAAAAATAAATTGTATCACATAAATAGTGTTGGGAAAATTGATATCCACATGCAAAAGAATGAAGTTTGACCCTTATCTCATACTATGTACAAAAATCAACTTAAAATAGATTAAAGACTTAAATGTAAAGCCTGAAACAATAAAACTTTTAGAAGAAAACATAGGGAATAAACTTCTAGACAATAGCCTGGGCAGTGATCTCTTAGATATGACACCAAAAACATAGGCAGCAAAAACAAACATAGACACATAGGATTATATCAAACTAAAAAGCTTCTGCACAGCCAAGGAATCAATCAACAGAGTCAAAGACAACTACAGAATGGGAGAAAATATTTGCAGACCATATATCTGATAAGGGGCTAATATTCAAAATTTCTATTGAACTCCTACAACTCAAAACCAAAAAACAAATAATCCAATTAAAAAATGGACAGCTGGGCCAGGCTCAGTGGCTCACACCTGTAACCCTAGTACTCTGGGAGGCCAAGGTGAGAGGATCTCTTGAGATCAGGAGTTAGAGACCAGCCTAAGCAAGAACGAGACCCCATCTTTACAAAAAAAAATAGAAAAATTAGTCAGGTGTGGTGGTGTATGCCTCACCTACTCAAGAGGTTGCAGCAGAATTGCTTGAGCCCAGGAGTTTGAGGTTGCAGTGAGCTATGATGATACCACTGCACTCTAACCAGGGTGACAGAGTGAGATTCTATCTCAAAATAAAAAAATAATGGACAACAGATCTGAATAGACATTTCTCCAAAGAAGACATACAAATGGCCAACAGGTATATGAAAAGATGCTCAACATCACTAATCCGGGAAATGCAAATCAAAACCACAATCAGATATTACTTCATACCTACTGGGATGACTATTATCAAAAATATAAAGGATGAGTATTGGCAAGGATGTGGAGAAAAGGGGACCCTGTATACTGGCTTGAAAGAATGTAAACTGGTGCAGCCACTGTGGAAAACAATATGGAGGTTCTTTGAAAAATTAAAAATAGGATTACCATTTGATCCAGCAATCTCACTTTTGGGTATATATCCAAAGGAATTGAAATCTGGATCTTGAAGAGATATCTGCATTCCCATGTTCACTGCAGCATTATTCACAATAGGCAAGATATGGAAACAACCAAAATGTCTAATCAATGGATAAATGGATAAATAAAATGTGGTATATCCATACAATGGAATATTATTTGGCCTTGAATGAAATCCTGCATTTTACAACAAGATGGATGGACCTAAAGGACATGCTAAGTGAACTAAGCCAGACATAGAAAGACAAATATTGCATGATTTCATTTATATGTGGGATCTAAAATAGTCAAACGCATAAAAGCAGAGAGTAGAATGGTGATTGCCAGGGGCTGAAGGGAGGGGAGGTGTTAGTCAAAGGGTACAAAGTTTCAGTTATGCAAAGTGAGTTCTGGAGATCTGTATACTACAGAGCTTATAATTAACAAATGCTATATTACATGCATACAAATTTGATAAGAGGATAGATCTTACGTTAAGTACTCTTACCACAAAAGAAAAAATAAAAAAGGGGGTGGGAGGAAACTTTTGGAGGTAATAGGTAAGTTTATTGCATTGATAGTGGTAATGGTTTGATGGTTTCAAGGGTATATACTTCTCTCCAAATGCATCAAGTTGTATATATTAAATATCTACAGTGTTTTCTACATCAATCATACTTTAATACAGCAGGTTTTTAAAAAAAACAAAACATTGTCTCATGATTGAGTTACATGCAAGGGGGAATGGTGTTACATGCAAGGGGGAATGATGATTATTTGTTTCCTTTACTAGATTGCAAATTACCTGAGGGTATAAATCATATTTCACATACCTTTGTATAATCCAAACAATGCTGGACTAGACAAATGCTTAATAAGTACTTGCTGACCAGCAGATTGGATGAAGCAAAAGAAATATCACAGCATAAAGGAAACAAGAACTTACCTCTGTCTGCCCTGGTTTCACAGTTGCATGACAAGCAATCATGAGTGAGCTATTAGGAAAGGGCCAGTGCTGGGATGCAGAGTACTGCAGACTTTCCACCTCCAATCCCACCTCTTCTGCAACTTCCCGCCGGACAGTCTCTTCCAGACTTTCACCTACAAGCACTCAGGTTAATTCAGGACAGCCCTGTAGCAGGAAGGGTACACAGATAGCCCATATGTGAAAGGAGCCCAAAACGGCTCCAAAGTTTCAATGAAACACTCTTGGGAGTGTCCTAAACCTCTGAGTCTTTGCAACAATAGGAATCAGGTCCAGAGTTGGATGTTGAACTGCAGTGCTTAAGGTTACTTACTAGGTTACTTATAATACAAAGTAAGGGTGGTGGTGGGAGAGACGACGGCTGCCCTCCGCTTTAACAAAACTCCACTTTTCACTACTTGCAAATTTTACCCCAAAAGACTGAAAAAAAGAAAGCAATTTGTGAATAAATATTGAATTCTAGCTAATGTTATGTGTGTTGAATATGTAGGGAAAAGTGTACTAATTAGGGGCCGGGCACAGTGGCTCACACCAGTAATCCTACCCCTAGCACTTTGGAAGTCCAAGGCAAGAGGATTGCTTGAGGTCAGGAGTTCTGCGACCACCCTGAGCAAGAGCAAGTCCCCCTTTCTACAAAAAATACAAAAATTAGCTGGGCATAGTGGTAAGTATCTATAGTCCCAGCTATTTGGGAGGCTGAGGCAGGAGGATTGCTTGAGCCCAAAAGTATTGAGTTTGCAGTGAGCTATGATGACGCCACTGCACTCTATCCCAGGCAACAGAGAGAGACCCTGACTACATTTTTTTTTTAAAGTGTACTAATTAATATCTGCAATCTATGCACCAAAAAATAAGATGGGGCTGGGCACAGTCGCTCATGCCTGTAATCCTAGCACTGTGGGAGGCTGAAGCAGGAGGATCACTTCAGGTCAGGAATTCAAGTCCATCCTGAGCAAGAGCAAGACCCCATCTCTACAAAAAGTAGAAAAATTAGCCAAACACAATGGCATGCGCCTGTAGTCCCAGCTACTCTGGAGGCTGAGGCAGGAGGATAGCTTGAGTCCAGGAGTGTGAGGTTGCAGTGAACTATGATCACACCACTCTACTCTATCCCAGGCACCAGGCAACACAACAAGACCCTGTCTCAAAAAAACAAAAAAGATGGATTGACGGACGGATAGATGAACAGATATGTGATAAAGTAAATACAGTAAAAAATTATAGAATCTAAGGGTATGCTCAGGGCAGGGGGCCTGAAGAATGGCTCCTCTGTTTACAACACACCCAACAGGAATCTGAGGTCACTGTGATGAGGAACACAAAACTTGTAACCTCCCTATGAACAAATGCCCTACATGTGAAGAAGAAAAAAATTATAGAATCTAGGTGGTTGGTGTATGGGTGGTCACTGTATAATTCTTTCAACTATACTGTATGTTTGAAAAATTACCTAATAAAATATTAGAAAATTAAAATGCCAGAAGGCAGTTTTCTTGACATGATAGGGAAAAATGTGCTTGAGAATCAAAGCACTATGGCAGGCCAGGCGTGGTGGCTCATGCCTGTAATCCTAGCACTCTTGGAGGCCGAGGCGGGAGGATTGCTCAAGGTCAATAGTTCAAGACCAGCCTGAGCAAGGGCAAGACCCCGTCTCTACTAAAAATAGAGATTAGCTGGACAACTAAAAATATATATAGAAAAAATTTGCTGGGCATGGTAGCGCATGTGAGGCAGGAGGATCGCTTGAGCCCAGGAGTTTGAGGTTGCTGTGAGCTAGGCTGACGACGCCATGGCACTCACTCTAGCCTGGGCAACAAAACCAGACTCTGTCTCAAAAAAAAAAAAAAAAAAAAAGGACAATGGCACTATGGCAATAAGACAGAGAAATACCCACCATTAGTAAGATTTCATATCCTCCAATGTTACCTATCAGTCCCCCAAATTAATTCCTTACCTATATCACAAAACCCTGCCAAGGCAGAATACATTCCCTTGGGAAAGGAGCTCTGACGGACAAGCAGGCAGCGGGTCCCATCTGACACCAGAGTGATCACCACAGGAGCCACCTAGGAAAGGAGGATGGAAACTGAGATGCTGGCACTTTGGGGGCTGCTATTTTGGCTAAGGAATAGATAATTAAGGAAAGCCTTCCCCAGGACAGAGTAGTTAGTGCACAGTCTTCTCAGATTACTGTCCTCTTAAAGCAATGCTTACCTGTGGGTAATAGATGATATTATTGGAAGGGCACACACGCTTGCTGCCAGCCATGTTCTTCCTGGTGGGCTGCCCACTTCTGCTGCAAAACTGATGTGTATGATGCCAATGGAGAAGAGCCTGAGCCTAGGAATACAAAGACAGGCCTGGTTTCGTTTAGAGAGAATGCGGGGCTCACCTCTACCAGCACTGGGCCTTGTATCTAGAGCAACTCACAGGGAAATGCCAATCCCTTTCCAGCTCACCTATTCTAAATGGTTACTGACTTTAAGATAAGGAAATTATGTGAACATGTTCCCCTAGCATCTGAATAAAAGAAAACATATTTTAAAATATACTATGAATTATTCGAGACATATAAAATATATAAACACCTATGTACTCACTACCCAGCTTAAAAAGAAAACATTTCCAATATGGTTGAACACCCTCACATGTACTCCTCCCCAATAAAGATGAAATTCTGTTTTTGCAACTAAAAACGTTCAGAGATTTCTTTTTGGTTTCTTTTTTTCACGGACACTTCTAATGCCATAAGAGGTTTCTTCTTAAAATAAGTGGACGATCAAAATACTGTAGCAAGCAAAATATAAAGCTGTGAGGGCGAGTCATTAAAGCAATGTAAATTAATTTCTGATAGTAAAAACATGATGGGCTGGGCACGGTGGCTCATACCTATAATCCTAGCACTCTGGGAGGCCGAGGCGGGAGCATCACTCAAGCTCAGGAGTTCGAAACCAGCCTGAGCAAGAGCGAAACCCTGTCTCTACTAGAAATAGAAAAAAAATTAATTGGCCAACTAATATGTAGAAAAAATTAGCCAGGCATCGTGGCGCATGCCTGTAGGCCCAGCTACTCTGGAGGCTGAGGCAGTAGGATTGCTTGAGCCCAGGAGTTTGAGGTTGCTGTGAGCTACGCTGATGCCAGGGCACTTTAGCCTGAGCAATAGAGTGATGAGACTCTGTCTCAAAAAAAAACCAGAGAAAAACATGATGATATATATGTCATGCTGTGGGTCATTAAACATGTTTACAAGGCTGATAGATTCTACTGCTATAGTTCTGCATGTCCTTAGGAGAAAATGGTCTTGACAGTGGTTCTGCCAAAAACAAGGGGAAAAGAAGGAAGAGTAAGCAATCTTCTTATAGCACTTTTGTCCTGCCAAAGTGTGTAGAAAGGACTATGATCTGCAAAAGAAGAAATCAAATGTCACCCTAGCCTTGTATATGTACACAAGGATTCGCCCATATATACTACTTTACTAAAATTCCTACAGAGTTGAGAAATAAAAATTTACCGTGAAAAGCAAGGAGGCATCCTTCACATTCAGGTGAAAAAGAGCCTTTCTCAGCTCAATGAAAGATCCCTTGAGCTCTGCCTCCATTTCTGATTTCTGTAAGGAGGCTAGAAAATTAGAAGAGAGAATGGAATTAAACAAATGTCAAACTTTGCCTCAGGGCCCCTCTCCAGTCTATCCTGTTAAAACAATGTTTCCCAAACTTGCACAATAAGATTCAACTGGGGAAAGTAAAAAATATCCAGGTTCTCAGTTGGGCACAATGGCATGTGCCTGTAGTCCTAGCTACTCAAGAGGCTGAGGCGGGAGGATTGCTTGATCAAGGCTATAGTGTGCAATGCTCAGGCCTGTCAATAGCCACTGTGCTTTATAGTCTGGGCATCATAGCAAGACTCTTGTCTCTAAAAAAAAAAAAAAATCCAGCTTCTCAAACCCCTACCTGGAGATTCTGAAGCAGCAGGTGAGGAATAAGGCCCAGAAATCTTTTATTTTTTTTTAAACAAACACCAGGTGATTCTTATATTCAGGCCAGTTTAGGAAACATTAGCGCATAGTATTTCTCAAATCGTCTTCAGGGAAATAAGAACATTTGTGTTAGCCACATGCTATCCCTGGAAAAGAGATGAAATGGGACCTTACAGCTCCTATATGATCTTCATTCCAGCATCGTTACACTTACTTACACCTAGACCCTTAAACAGAGAAGCAAAGCCTGATAGGAGCCATAAGCCTATAGCAAAGTGCTTCCCAAATGCAAGTCTGAGAACCTAGAGCTACTCCAAGGAAACATTTTATTTGCCTCTATTGATAAGAGAAATGAGAATGATGTTATGAATTTTAAAACATTTCTTATGACATATTTAAGAACTATAAAATGTATAAAGGTACAGAGAATAATAAACATCTGTGCACCTAGCTTAGAAAGAAAGCGTTAAGCCAGGCGCGGTGGCTCACGCCTGTAATCCTAGCACTCTGGGAGGCTGAGGCGGGCGGATTGCTCGAGGTCAGGAGTTCGAAACCAGCCTGAGCAAGAGCAAGACCCCGTCTCTACTATAAATAGAAAGAAATTAATTGGCCAACTAATATGTATAGAAAATTAGCCAGGCATGGTGGCGCATGCCTGTAGTCCCAGCTACTCGGGAGGCTGAGGCAGAAGGATTGCTTGAGCCCAGGAGTTTGAGGTTGCTGTGAGCTAGGCTGATGCCATGGCACTCACTCTAGCCTGGTCAACAAGCGAGACTCTGTCTCAAAAAAAAAAGAAAGCGTTAAAATATCCTTTATTTTAAATGATGATGATAATAGATGATAGTTTTTTTTTTATATCCTGACTGAAAGAAAAAACAGAAAGTTGAATAGAACCTTTTTGTATTCCCAAAATTTTCTTTGAAATTTAGCTATTATGTGAAATCCCAAAGTCTGAGAACCACTGGCAAGTACTCAGTAGGAATAATGTTCTGTACCACTTGTGGAAGAGGAGCTGTCGAGACCTAGATCCAAAGCAAACCATGCTTCATGCTGTTCAGAGCATCCAATCAGCACAGAATCTTCTATTCTTTGTGCATCCTGTCCAAATTTACCCAGGAGCCCTTCCAACTCTAAGAAACAGAAAGGAGAAGGGAGAAAAGCAAAAAGCAAAGGTTTCAATTAAATCACTACAGCCATATCAGACTTAAATGAAATCAGCAACTTTAGCTTAAAGTGGGTATACTTGGTATCCAGTTGCTGCCCTGTATCTCATTGTCTATGTAACCTGGGTCTAATCACTTAACCTCTCTGGGCCTCAGTTTTCTCAGCAATCTGAGGAGTTTAGACCAAAGAAGGAATTTTATATGTGTAACACTGTATTCTTCTATGACTGTATCATGAAAAGAATATATCCCCCTAGTGAGTAAGATGCATGATATTTAACTTATTAAGGCATTGAAAAAAAAAAATGTCATACAAAACGACAGAGATCAATCTAGTTCTATACTTAGCCTACAGATTATGCTGCTTTTTTGGGCCAAAGTGGAATACTCATCTGAGATCCTGGTCTGTAAAAGACAAGTGCTATGTAGGGAGAAAACCTGCGTTCTTGTTCATTAGGAACTCATACTTGTTCATAATACAATATAATGTTGCTAAATCTCTTAATAATGTTCAGTGTCTTCTAATGAAGTCCTCATGTTCTTCTACACTGCTAGAAACTACCTATTCATGTACTCTAGCATGTGACCTATGAGGGAAACTCACTGGCAAAATACATGTATTTTAAAATTTTTTTATTTTTAGTTATTATGGGTACATAATAGTTGTATATTTTTATAGGGTACATGTGATGTTTTGATATAGGCATACAATGCGAATTAATCAAATCAGAGTAATTGGAATATCCATCACCTCAGGCATTAATCATTTCTTTTTTTTTTTTTTTTTTTGAGACAGAGTCTCACTTGTTGCCCAGGCTAGAGTGAGTGCCGTGGCGTCAGCCTAGCTCACAGCAACCTCAAACTCCTGGGCTCAAGCAATCCTCCTGCCTCAGCCTCCCGAGTAGCTGGGACTACAGGCATGAGCCACCATGCCCGGCTAATTTTTTCTATATATATTAGTTGGCCAATTAATTTATTTCTATTTATAGTAGAGACGAGGTCTTGCTCTTGCTCAGGCTGGTTTCGAACTCCTGACCTTGAGCAATCCGCCCGTCTCGGCCTCCCAGAGAGCTAGGATTACAGGCGTGAGCCACCGCGCCCGGCCAATCATTTCTTTATATTAGGAACATTCCAATTCTATTCTTGAAGTTATTTTAAAGTATACCCTAACTTATTGTTGACTGTAGTCATTTTGTTGTGCTATCAAATATTGTTCATTCTATCTATCTATCTTTTTCTACCAATTAACAACCCCCGCTTTAAGCCCCCCTCCCCATTACTCTTTCCAGCCTCTGGTAACCATCATTCTACTCTCTGTCTCCATGAGATCAATGGTTTTTAATATTTGGCTCTCAAATATGAGTGAGAACATGTGAGATTTGTCTTTCTGTACTTGGCTTATTTTATTTAACATAATGTTCTCCAGTTCTATCCATGTTGTTGCAAATGGCAGATTTTCATTCTTTCCTATGGCTACATAACATTCCATCATGTTATATAGTGGTGTTAACATCACCACATTTTCTTTACTCATTCATCTGCTAATGGACACTGAGATTGACTTCAAATCTTGGCCATTGTGAATAGTGCTAAAATAAACATGGGAGTGCATCTTTTCAATATATTCAATTTCTTTCTTTTGGATATATAGCTAGCGGTGGGATTGCTGGGTCATATGGTAATTCTATTTTTAGTTTTCTGAGGAACTTGCACTAATTTACATTCCCATATCAAGAATGTACCAGGGTTCCCCCTTTCTCCACATCCTCACCAGCATTCTTTATTGCCTGTCTTTTTTATGAAAGCCATTTTAACTGGGGTGAGATGATACCTGATTGTAGTTTTGATTTGCATTTCTGTGATGGTGTTGAGCATTTTTTCATACACCTGTTGGCCGTTTGTATGTCTTTTGAAAAATATCCATTCAGATCCTTTGCCCATTTTTAAACTGGATTATTTGATTTTTTTCCTATTGAGTTGTTAGAACTCCTTATATATTCTTGTTATTAATCTTTTCTCAAATGGGTAGTGTGCAAATATTTTCTCCCATTTTGTAGGTTGTCTCTTCACTTTGTTGATTGTTTCCTTTGCTGTGAAGAAGCTTTTTAGCTTGATGTGCTCTCATTTGTCCAATTTTGCTTTGGTTGCCTGTGCTTTGATGGTACCACTGAAGAAGTCCTTGCCCAGACCAATATCCTGAAGTGTTTCCCCAAAGTTCTCTTTCAGTAGTTTCATAGTTTCAGGTCTTATATTTAAGTCCTTAATCCACTTTTATTTGATTTTTATATATGGTGAGAGCTAAAGGTCTAGTTTCATTCTTCTGCATATGGATTTCCAGTTTTCCCAGCCCCATTTACTGAAGGAACTATCCTTTACCCACTGTATGTTCTTGGCACATTTGTTGAAGATAAGTTCCCTATAGATGCGTGGATTTATTTCTGGGTTCTCTATTCTGTTTCATTGGTCTGTCTGTTTTTATGCCAGTACCATGCTGTTTTGGTTACTATAGCTTTGTATTATAACTTGAAGTCGGGTAATGTGATTCCTCCAGTTTGATTCTTTTTGCTCAGAATGGCTTTGGCTATTCTGGGTCTTTTGTGGTTCCATATAAATTTTAGGATTATTCTCTCTAGTTCTGTGAAAAATGTCATTGGTATTTTGATGGGGATTGCATTGAATCTGTAGATTGATTGCTTTGGGTAGTATGGACATTTTAACAATATTGATCATTCCAATCCATGAGCATGGAATATCTTTCTATTTTTATGTATCCTCTTCAATTTCTTTCATCAATGTTTTGGTTTTCATTATAGAGATCTTTCACTTCTTTGATTAAGTTTATTCCTAGGTATTTTATTTTATTTGTAGCTATTTGTACATAAGATTACTTTCTTCATTTCTTTTTCATATTGTTTACTATTGACATATAGAAATGCTACTGATTTTTGTATGTTAATTTTATATCTTGCAACTTTACTGAATTTGTCTATCAGTTCCAATAGTTTTTTGCTTGTTTGTTTGTTTTTGTGGAGTCTTTAGGTTTCTCTAGATATAAAATCATATCATCTGCAAACAGCATAATTCACCTTCTTCCTTTCCAATGTGGATGCCTTTTATTTTTCTCTTGTCTGATTGATCAATATATTTAGAAGTTAGTCAGAATAGAGTGACATCATATAAAACTGAAAGTTAGCATTTTGAATGCCAAATCCCAATGGCTTAGATATGTCTAGGTATATAAGCTAAAAGAATTCTCAAAACAAATTCATTTTGGCTAGGCGTGGTGGCCCAAGCCTGTAATCCTAGCACTCTGGGAGGCCGAGGTGGGAAGATTACTTGAGCTCAGGAGTTCGAGACCACCTTGAGCAAGAGCAAGACCCTGTCTCTACTATAAAATAGAAAGAAATTAGCCAAACAACTAAAAATAGAAAAAATTGGCTGGGCACAGTGGCACATGCCTATAGTATGAGCTACCTGGGAGCCTGAGGCAGGATAGCTTGAACCCAGGAGTTTGAGGTTGCTGTGAGCTAGGCTGATGCCACGGCACTACCCAGGCAACAGAGTGAGACTCTGTCTCAAAAAAAAAGAGAGATACCAAATATTTTAGGCTTTATGAGTCATACAGTTTCTATCATAACTACTCAACTCTACATTATAGTGCAAATAGCCATAAATGATTTATAAGTGAACTAGTGTGACTATGTTCCAATAAAAATTTATTTACCAGTCAGCAGATCCAATTTGGACAGCAGTTTTGCCAACTTCTAGTTTAAGGCGTTAGTGATTCATATCATCACCAAATAATATTTGAGTGGAAAATTAGAGTTTACACACTAAATTATTAGTTGGCAGAAGCAGTTACACCGGCTTAAGACTAAAAAGCTGTTTGAAAAATCTAAACTCTAAAGTTCAAGGATGCTTCTTAGAAATTCAATATGCACTGAATTCTATTTAGTACCCACAGACTAGTCAATGCCACTGGTTGGACCACTTTCGACTTACCTAACAGGCTATGCCGGGGGGCCAAGTATCGATGTGCTGAAGTCTGAAGCAAAGGAGCCAGCCTGTGAAAGAGGTAAAATGCTCCTGTCTGCTGGGCTTTTTTACATGCATCATCATCTTCCTTCAGTTCAAATAAATACCTATATTTGGGAAATAATCAAACCTTTACAAAACCACACTTAGGTGCTCATAGAGCATTCATCTTTGAGAATTCTGCTCCTGTATCACTCTCCTACCACTGTTATTTCCCTTTATTTATCTACTAATTTGCTAATTTGCTTCAAAAAGTATCTGAGGTGGCTACAGGAAATCATTCATTCCCCCTTTTGTCCTACTGCATACATTGCTCATACTTCTGTGGTTGCACTATCATATTATTTGTTCATTTGTCTCCCCTAAAAGACCATGATCTCCTTAAGGGCAGGGTCTGCCTTACTCAACCCTGTATCTCAGTAATTAGCATATTGAATGGCTCCATTCAATAAATATTTACTGAATTGAACTTCAAGGGTAATAAATATTTACTGACTTGAACTTCAAGGTACTCTGCCAATATTATGCTGTGAGGCAAGAATGTACATGCAGTGAAGTGAAAGGAAAACAAGTGCAGTGATAAAACATCAACCACAGAATACCTAGTGATGGGAACAAACTTTATTACTGCAGACAAAGAGCAAACACCATATCTTCAGTAACGCTCATTCAATCCAGGGAAGAGAAAGAACACATTTTACCTTCAACGTATGTTTGGTACCTTTGTTTCAAACATCTAGCTCCCACAGTGGCCACTGTCAGCTCTTTGTCTCTAGTGAAGGGACCATTGATGAAGCCTATACTTAACCTATTTAACAAGGATAACATTTTCAGTAGCCAAAATGAAATGTGGAAAAAGAGAACATCATATTATTGCTTTCTCAAAGAAATAGTAATGGGGCAAGTTCTAGGCTTTGCCAGTACGTTCATTTAAGGATGGTCTGAGTCTGTCCCATTAAGAGCTTTGGGAATCAAATCAGGGTCCCTGTGATTCTGCAGAGACAGAATGTGGATTCTGCTAGGGCCTCAAGGCTAACCATTTTTGCCTATCAAAGACCCTAAAACAGATTCTCAAATATAAAGCATATTTTGTCACTTAAGTGGGGAAAAATGGCATGCAGACATTTTCTGTAGGATCTGGGAACTTTTGTAACACCAGGAAGCACAGTTGGCTCAGCATTAAAATACAAAGCAAAGTGACAAATGCACCCCAGTGTAATCTGTAGGAACCTATTTTGATGGTGTGATAAAAGGGGTTACAGTGAGCTCTTTATAAATAGAAGACAAGAGAAACCTGATCTTTTAAGACTCATGATATTTTTAAACTTATTGTGAGTGACTGCAGCCTCCTGGGGCAAAGACTCAATGTATGTCAAAGCAGCGACATGTGTCACTCAGAAGTTACCAAATATAAACAATAGAACAAACACAGCTGCCTTCGTAAAAAGAACAGTAGGAGTGGTACAACCTGTGCTTTGCCCTAATGACCCTAAAAAGCAAAACATCTACAAAAACACCCAGGTTAAGGTCTTAAACCCAAGGCCTCACTGGAACTGGAATTGACATCCAAAAATTCCTTATACTACTCTTGGTCAGGAACTCTATTTTTAAAAATTCATTTTCTCCCTTTAGTTATAATAGCATGGAAAACACTACATTAAGATTAACAAGGCTGAAAATATTTAGATTACTTTTAAACTTTAACCGTTTTTTCCCTAGTATAACAGTAAAAAATAGTCATTCTTTAATAATCAGAATATACAATTATCAATTTTTAAAAAGGGGACAATCCTGCCACTTGGGTCTGATCATTATTTTTATACTTTGGCATTCTCCAAACTATTAATATTATGCATCAATACATATATATTTAGAATCAATTGTGCCTACTAATTTGTAGCCTTTTCTTCTTAAACATATTTTAACATTTTTTCACATCATTGTATCATAAAGAATTCTTTTTTTGTCGTTTCTGGGTGTGAGTATGTGTTTTGCTTTTTGAGACAAGGTCTCACTCTGTTGCCCAGGCTGTAGTGTGAGTGCAGTGGCTTGATCACAGCTCACTGCAACTTTGAACTCCAGGGCTCAAGCAATCCTCCTGCCTCAGCCTCCTGAGTAACTGGGACTACAGGTGCATACTACCTCATCCAGCCAATTTTTCTGTTTTTTGTAGAGACAGGGTCTCCCTATGTTGTCCAGGCTGGTATCAAATTCCTGGTCTTAAGCAATCCTCCAGCCTTGGCCTCCCAAAGTGCTGGGATTGCAACCATAAGCCACTATGCCCAGCCAAATATTCTTTATTGATAGACTTTTATTCTTTTCTCATGATTTTTATTTTTTTTTTTTGCCAAATCCCAGGAATGAACCAATTTTTATTTATTTTTAAATATATTTAATCACTTTAATATACTTAATTTTTAGACTATTCAATAATTGTTATTCTTCTTGGAGTCTCTGAGAAGTATAAGCAACACAAATGTCCAACAATATCTAACACGAGTATTACAATTTTGTTGTTTGTTTACTCTTGCTCATGTAGGATTGTATGCTAATGTGCCTCTAAATTTTGGACTGGGCTCTTAAGTTTGGCAGGGCTTTCTATGTAAGAAGCCCTGGTTGTGAGTATATCCCTCCTGAGGAATTCTACATTTGCACTTGCATGTGTCCCAGGGATATTATCAGTCCAAGATTGCTACTTAAATTCATTTCTTAAGCTGGGGGTTCTAGGACCATACCACACAGATGGTGTACAAATTTAAACCCCAAAACTGTATGGGAGCAGGTTAGCGATTTCAGATTTCTATAGGCTGAGACAAAAAAGTCCTTTATCACCTTCCTGTGTTATTATAGAATTTTTTCCTAGTCTACCTTTCCTTGAAGTTTAGTTCTTGGAGGGTGGGGTAATGGTAGAGAGTAGAGTTAGTTATCTACCTAATTTTCAGGAAACATCATGAAATATTATTCAATATAATTTTGTTTGTTTGTTTCTGGTTTTTTTGAGACAAGGTCTCACTCTGTTGCCCAGGCTGGAGTACAAAGGCATCATAATAGTTCATTGTAACCTCAAATTCCCGGCCTCAAGCAATCCTCCTACCTTGGCCTCCCAAAGTGCTAGGGTTACAGGCATGAGCCACCTCACCTAACCTACATAAATCTTTAACACAGATCTTTAATTCTCAATATGGGATCTTAAGATGTTCAGAGTTTATACTTTAATGGGCCAAAGATGTAATAATCAGAGTTTAGGTTGATCAAAACTCACCGTGTCTTAGTCACGTAGGTTGACAGCAGCCTATAGCACCAAAAAGATTTTCTCCTGCAAGCTATTCCACAATACAGGAACATTGTTAGGTCCTTAGAGAAAAGAGGAGTTTAAAAAAAAGTCATAGTATGCAATTTAAAGTAATGAATTGCCAAGAGGCTTATATTTTAAGCCAGGATAGGATCCCTTTGTAATATTAAGGAAAGAGAACTAAACAGGAGTCAGGTGATCTGGCTTCTAAATTGCATTTCTACCACTAACTATGAGATCTCAACTTTTCAATACTTCTTTCCTAATCTACAAATTGAAACCTGTTCTACCTACCTAGAATAAAAATGAAATAGGGCCAGACTCGGTGGCTCACACCTGTAATCCTAGCACTCTGGGAAGCCGAGGCGGGCAGATTGCTCGAGGTCAGGAGTTCGAAACCAGCCTGAGCAAGAGTGAGACCCTGTCTCTACTATAAATAGAAAGAAATTAATTGGCCAACTAATATATATATAGAAAAAATTAGCCGGGCATAGTGGCGCATGCCTGTAGTCCCAGCTACTTGGGAGGCTGAGGCAGCAGGATTGCTTGAGCCCAGGAGTTTGAGGTTGCTGTGAGCTAGGCTGACGCCACGGCACTCACTCTAGCCTGGGCAACAAAGTGAGACTCTGTCTCAAAAAAAAAAAAAAAAAAAAAAATGAAATAGAAGGAATCCTGTAGATAAGAAAAATATAAAACCACAGCCATTAGGAAAATATTTCAAAAGGCAGCTATGCAAATTCACATGGATCCAGACATTTTCTATTTCTTGTAGCTCATTGAGAAAAAAATTCTGTATCTAAAGATCCATTCTGCAGAAGATAGTCCCTTTTAAATGATATATCAGTAAATATTTTCTTCATCATGAAAAGTACCTTTCACATTAGCAGTAATACATTCAAGAAATTCCCCTGAAAAAATGAGAAAATCAGTACAGTTAAATAACCAACCACCCTTTTAACTGTGCTTGAGGAAGAAAGCTTTGACACTCAACTACCCAGGAACATCTAAAGTTTATGCCTACTTCTTGGTTGCATAATTATGAATCACTGATGACTAATCCTTGGACAGTTTTGGCTACAATCTGTGTCCCAGCCAAGGGTAAAATATATTTAGTAAATGACATTCAACAAAGTATTCAGTACTGACTTTGTTCAAGGTCCCTTAAGGAACACAAAAATGTACAGGATGAAAATCCCTCCCCTAAAGGAACTCTAGAAGGAGAGAGAAAACAAATATATAACTAACTTTCATAAAAGGCAATACGTGATATGTGGATTACAAAGCACTCTAGTACAGCATTACAGGTGTAATCCTATTTTAATAACCCAAGAATTAGTGTGATATACTGGAAGAAATGTATTTAAACTCAACATTTACATCATATACAACTGTGAGAATGTAAATTGGTACAATATATTTGGAAGTTAATTTGGGGATATTTATTAAAATGTTAAATAAACATCCCTTTCACCTAGCAATTCCATGTCTAAATATTTACGCTAGGAAGGAAAGGATATGTACAAGAATGTTAACTGAAAATTACGATAAAATGGAATGATACACAGCTGTGAAAAATAAATAGGAAATAACAGAACAGTGAAAAAATACACATATAGTAACAGGGAAAGATATTCAAAATATATATTAAGTAAAATAAGCAAGGAGGGTTGAGGACCTCTTGGGTAATGGGTACAAAGTTTCAGTTAGATAGGATGAATAAGTTCTGGGGATCTATTGTACAGCACAGTGACCACAGTTAATAATAATGTATTGTACACTTAAAAATTACTAAAAGAGGCTGGGCACTGTGGCTCATGCCTGTAATCCTAGCACTTTGGGAGGCTGAGGCAGGAAATTTACTTGAGGCTAGGAGTTTGAGGTTGCAGTGAGTTATAATGATGCCATGGCACTCCAGCCTGGGCAACAGAGTAAGACCTTGTCTCAGAAAAAAAAAAAAATTACTAAAAGAATGGATCTTAAATGCTGTCACCACACAAAAAAAATGTGTAAGTATGTGAGGTTGGATAGGTATGCTAATTTGTTTTATGTAATCATTTCACAATGTATACATATATCAACACATCACATTTTACACTGTAAATATATATAATTTTTTTGGTCAATTATACCTTAATAAAGCTGGAGGGAAAAAAAGAAAAGTAATAATTAGTTGGTTAGCATAATTAATTTATAAATAAAGGACACATACATATACACACCAGTATATAAAATTAGATATGTACTTGTTTATATTTTTCAAATGACTAGAAGTATACATATGAAACTATTAAGAATGACTAATTTGAGAGAGTGGGATAGAGATAAAGATTGAACAAGTATTTGTAATTTTTACTTTATTCCTTTCTGTATTAAAAAAATTTTTTAACCATGTGTGTATATTCCTTTTAACATAAAAGAGAGTATAAAAAATAGTAGTCCCTGTGACTAACTGCTCAATAAGGCTATTTCCAGGCCACTGTTTTCAGACACACCTCACCATATTACCTCTGGGCCAAAGGGAATTCCTTTGGTGAGTGTAGTGGATCCTGGGAATTGCAAGACCTGTCTGGTTGTAGTTGTGGTTACTGACTAATCTATATGGCCCATTGTACTTGGCGGCCTGGTTTCCCTTAGTTTCTGCTGCAAAATGAACCTTAGCTAGTCATGGATTATCATGGCCTGCTGATTCATGAGTTGGTGGTCACAGAGCTATTTATTTATTTATTTATTTTCTGAGTCCTCTTTTATTTTATTATTTTTATAATTTTTTTATTCAGCATACAGAGCTATTTATATTTTTAAAAGTACAAAGCCTGGCCGGGCGTGGTGGCTCACGCTTGTAATCCTAGCACTCTGGGAGGCCGAGGCAGGCGGATTGCTCAAGGTCAGGAGTTCAAAACCAGCCTGAGCGAGACCCTGTCTCTACTATAAAAAATAGAAAGAAATTAATTGGCCAACTAATATATATATATAAAATTAGCCGGGCATGGTGGCGCATGCCTGTAGTCCCAGCTACTCGGGAGGCTGAGGCAGTAGGATTGCTTGAGCCCAGGAGTTTGAGGTTGCTGTGAGCTAGGCTGACGCCACGGCACTCACTCTAGCCTGTCTCAAAAAAAAAAAAAAAAAAAAAAAAAAAAAAGTACAAAGCCTGATAGAGATGAAAGATAATATTATTTTTATCAAAACTATCCATATGATGAGGCAAGGTCCATAAGATTCAGTTTCTCTGAACCCCTTGTAATAAATGATTCACACGTTTTCTCATCCTGTTCATCTTTCCAGAAGAAAGATTAATTTGCAAAGCACTACAGTATAATAAAAAAGCCCATCTTAAATCTAGTGGTTACTTCCACAGAGAAGAGGCTAGATTCAGCAGTGCTTGAGAGAGCTCTTTTGAAAGTCCATCACTCCTTGACTGTGGACCTCAGTGGGGGTTGGGAAATATGCAAAACCGAGGAACCAACTGGAATACAGATTTCAAAGTCTCACTGACCAATTTTATGGTTTGCTTTCTAAACAATAATTTTTCCTGTCTTAAAATGAAGGTACAATGTGATTAGTTAATAAGTTCCACTTTTAAACGACCCTCAAAAAAAGTATGAGAAAGTGATTAGCTGTGGTTAATGAGATTGCTCCATAGTTATGGTACAAAACTGATCATTCCCCAGGTTTCTGCAAGAAGGAAAAGAGACTAAGCTACCAGTATATCTGTAAAATGCTGTGACAAAGAGCTTTTTTCAAGTTCTGATTATGCCTCCCTATTAAGTCCTTCCTATACTTACTACCTGAACAGGTTTCTGTTTCATTGTACTCACTCTGAATTCTTTTGGGGGCACCTTCAAGAATCAGCAGAAACCAGGAAACTCCAAATACCAAAGTTCCAATGGCTGCCCTTCCCGGAGGGACCATTGCTACTTCTGCCACACTTCCCAGAATCCTCCTAAAGATGCACTCTGGGAAGTGTAGTTTAATCCCCATGCCGGCTGCTAAGTCCTTCAAAGTTAACTACAGCTGCCAAACACATACTTCTGCAATGCTTCCCAGAATCCTCCTAGAGATGCACTCTGGGAATTATAGTTCATTACCCAGGCACACTGCTGTGTCTGCCACCTGCAAAATTAACCATGATTATCAAAAGCATGATCTTCAAATATCTTATTGCCAAGGGAACTACTGTGTCTTTGAGAAAGTAGAGTAGTATTAGATCCATTTTTAAATAACAAAATGATAAAGTCATTAAATATACTCACATACACAGAAGGCCTATCTTCTGAGGGTGAGGGTAGGATGAAGGGGAGGTGGAACTCAGATAACTTTCAACATTTCTGTATCTCTAGTTCTATCTCTATGTGCCCACTTTAGAACTAGCTCTAAAATTTCATGAAATTCTGCCCATTTAAAAGGACAGAACTGTGTCTATATATGTTTGAACTTACAGTAGTATTCATTCTTCGATTGATCAGGGAGAGCAGCATTCCATCTGACTGAAAGAAATCTAGCAAAACTTCTCTGGCGCTGCCCTCTTCTCTTCTTACTACTAAAGTTACTTGCCTATGTGAGAAGATAGTTTTGAAGACCATTTGTTCAACATATATTTGATGAGCACCCAATGTGTCTGGGACTCCTATAGGCATAAGATACAGCAGGGAACAACACATGAAATTTTCTATCATATAACTGACATTCTAGAGGGGGAAGCAAACAAACAAGTAAATATATAATGCATCAAGTGTTATAAGTGCTCAGGAGGAAAAATAGGGCAAGATAAGAGGAGAGGGGCACATCTTCTCAGGATTTTTTGAGGCCATGTGCTCTGAGCCATGGTCACACATTTGGCTCAGAATAAACCTGTTTAAATTTTTAAAAGGTGGGGCTGGGTGTGGTGGATCATGCTGCAATCTCAGCGCTTTGGGAGGCGGAGGTGGGAGGATCTCTTGAGACCAGGAGTTTCAGTCCAGCCTGGGCAACATGGCCAGACCCCAACTCTACCAAAAAAAGAAAAAAAAAAGAGGAGGGATTATTTTGCTATTTTTATACATTATGGTCAGCCTCGTTGTTAAGGTGATATTTAAACAAATACCCTGAAAAAGATGACAAGGATGCCAAGTTGATATCTATGGGAAAGGATTTGTAGGCAAAACAAAATGAGCATATGCAAAGGACCTGGGGTGGGAATGTATCAGGTTTGAGGAAAGACTAGAACAGAGCATGGTGATTATAGATGAGATCAAAGAGTAGCCAGGTGTCTTATCACATAGGGCCTTGCAAGTCTTACAATTCTTATAAATCATTGCAATGCTTTTGGCTTTTACCCTGAGAGGGATGGGATGTTATCAAAGAATTTGAGATGATTAGACTTACATTTTAAAAGAATCACTCCATGTGTGGAGATTAGATTGTAGGGGATAAGGGTTATTAAATCCTGAATGGCATTGTTAATATGTACCTAGATTACAGGGGAAGAAAGAGTAAACCTGGTGAGTTGACCAGCCATTTCCTTTGGATGTCTTCCATTAGCACATGAACTAAAGGGTTTTTTTGTGTTTTTTTTTTACCAGGTAGTTTCATTATCCTTAAGGAAGACACAGAAAATTTGAGGGAAACAAATTGTAAAGTCAATGAATTCCAAAGAGATACGGAAGCATGCTTAGAGAAAAATTTGAACTCTAATAATTTAAAAAGTCAAAATAACTATATTTTTGGGTAATTAAGTGTTAAGTGCTATCATATTGAAAATAGCTAAGACTGAGCATTTACTGTGTTCTAGACACTCTGCTAAATGCTTTACATAGTTATCATTAATCCTCACATCCTTTGAAATATAAGATATTGTTAATTGCACCTTATAGATGAGAAAAAAGAGGCTTAGAAAAGTTAAATAATTTGGCCGGGCGAGGTGGCTCATGCCTATAATCCTAGCACTCTGGGAGGCTGAGGCAGGTGGATGGCTCGAGGTCAGGAGTTCGAAACCAGCCTGAGCAAGAGCAAGCTACTATAAATAGAAAGAAATTAATTGGCCAACTAATATATATAGAAAAAATTAGCCAGGCATGGTGGCGCATGCCTGTAGTCCCAGCTACTCGGGAGGCTGAGGCAGGAGGATTGCTTGAGCCCAGGAGTTTGAGGTTGCTGTGAGCTAGGTTGATGCCATGGCACTCACTCTAGCCTGGGCAACAAAAAAAAGAAAGAAAAAGAAAAAATAGGACTTTGTCAAAATTAAAATCTTTTGTGCTATAAACAATACCATCAATAACATGAAAAGACACCCCACACAATGGGAAACAATTATTATTGCAAGACATGTATCTAATTAAGGTACTTGTATCCAGAATATGTAAAGAACACTGGCAACCCAGTTACAAAAAGATAACCCAATTTTAAAATGAGCAAGAGCTGGGTGCAGGTGGCTTATGCCAGTAATCCCAGATACTCAGAGGATTGAGGTAGGAGGATCCCTTCAGGCCCTGAGGCCAGGAGTTTAAGACTAATCTGGACAACACAGTGAGACTTCCATCTCTAAAAAACTTTTTTTTAATTATCTGGATGTGGTTGTGGTACCAGCGCAGGCACTTGGGCTCTCTATGTAAGAGAAATTAACAAAAGGTCAAATGGGAGTCACAGGCAAGTCTTTATTGGGGCCCAGATTGGAACATAAGGGAGACAGCACAAAGGAAAAGGTCCTCAGGCTGCCTCCCTGAGGGAGTTCAGGGAGAATGTTAAAGAGGCTTAGGCAGGAAAAGGTGAAGTGTAAGCATGCAGAGGTGAAGAATTTCTTGCACCTGTATAGTTCTATTACATGCTTCTTCATGCATCATATGTCTCATTAACATGTTAAATCTCCACCCCTGTATGTGATTTTTAGCATTAAAATGAGATTATAATGAGGAAAAAAGCAGGGTAAGGTCAGTGTAGGGGTCTTTTCTGGCTTGAGGCAGTTGGATACGGTAGGTCTGGTTCTTTTGCAGTCAAGTGCTTCATCAGCCTATGTCTGTATCTTGTTCCAGTGGCCCTGAAAAACCACAAAGTTGTGTTGCCCCATGTTGACTCCCTTGGTCAGAAGTGAGGCCCAAGTCCTGTCCCTATACCGTCTCAGTGACCTGTGCTTGTAGTCTTAGCTACTCGGGAGGCTGAGGCAAGAGGATCACTCCAGCCTAGGAATTCAAGACCAGCCTGGATGGTATTAAGACTCCATCTTAAAAACCAAAACCAAAAGAAAGTAAAAATGACCAAAGGATCTGAATAAACATTTCTCCAAGGAAGATACAAAAAAATAATCAATAAGCACTTTTTTTTTTCAGAGAGAGTCTCACTTCTGTTGCCTGGGCTAGAGTGCCATGGCGTCAGCCTAGCTCACAGCAACCTCAAACTCCTGGGTTCAAGCGATCCTTCTGCCTCAGCCTCCTGAGTAGCTGGGACTACAGCCATGCGCCACCATGCCCAGCTAATTTGTTTTCTATTTTTAGTTGTTTGGCTAATTTCTTTCTATTTATAGTAGAGACAGGTCTCGCTCTTGCTCAGGCTGGTTTTGAACTCCTGACGTTGAGCGATCCTCCCACCTCGGCCTCCCAGAGTGCTAGGATTACAGATGTGAGCCACTGCGCCCGGCCTCAATAAGCACATTAAAAGATGCTCAACATCATTTGCCACCAGGGAAATGCAAATCAAAATCACAATAAGATATAACATTTTATACCCACTAGGATGGCTATGATCAAAAAGGCAGATAATGACAATGAGTGGTGAGGATGTGGAGAAATTGGAATTCTCATACACAGCTGGTGGGATTGTAAAGGGTGCAGCCACCTTGGGAAACGGTTCAGCAGTTCCTCAAAAAGTTAAATATGGAATTACCAAATGACCCAGGAATTCCATTCCTGGGTGTATATATCCAAGAAAATTGAAAACATATGTCCACACAAAAATTTATACATCAATTTTTATAACAGTGTTATTCAAAATAGCCAAAAAGTACAAAGAACCAAATAGCTATCAACTGATAAATAGGGAAGCAAAATTTGGTGTGTCTATCCATACAGTGGCATTTTTTTTGTTAATGAAGAGAAGTGATATATACTACAATATGGATGAAGCTTGAAAACATTATGCTAATTGAATAATTCAGTCACAAAATATCACATATTATATTTATATGAAATGTTCAGAATAGGCAAATCTGTAGAGACAGAAAGTAAATTAGTGATTGCCTACATATGGGGGCTGAAGGTAGTGTTCGAAGATAACGAATAAGGAGTGATTGCTAATGGGAACAGGGTTTTGTTTGGGGGGGCTTTATCAGAGTGATGAAAATGTTATAGAATTGGCTGTGTTGATGGTTGTTCAATTCTGTGAACCTACCAAAGATCATCAAATTGCACACTTTAAATGAGCAAATAGTACATTATTTCAATTATATCTCAATAAAGCTATACAAAATGCTCAATTAATTCATTAATTGTATTAAAAAATTATAGTGCATGATTAGGCTAGGCACAGTGGCTCATGCCTATAATCCTAGCACTTTGGGAGGCAGAGGCAGGAGGATTGCTTGAGGTCAGGAGTTCAAGACCAGCCTGAGTGAGAACAAGACCCCCATCTCTACTAAAAATAGAAAAAATTAGCTGGGCATGGTGGCATGTACTTGTAGTCCCAGCTACTTGAGAGGCTGAGGCAGGAGGATCGCTTGAGCTCAGGAGTTTGAGGTTGCAGTGAGCTAGGCTGATGCTACAGCACTCTAGCCTGGGCAACAGAGTGAGACTCTGTCTCAAAAAAAGAAATTATAGTGCATGTGCATGATTAGTAAATACAGCAAATATGGTATAAACAACAATAATCCTCATTGTTTTTATAAGTCATGAGGTAAAAATTGTCTTTCCTCAGACATGCTTAACTTCAAAGCAATGGGATTTATTCAATCATGTAATAAATTAACACTGTACACACTTTTAAGGGCACAAAATGAGTCTCAAGTCATTTAATCCCAGCCTAGCCTTGTGGTGGTAGAAGTGAGGTAATACTATATTGAAATACATGTGTTTATTAATTTATTAAACAGATATTTATTGTAAACCTATTATGTGCCAATCATCATGCTAGAATTAGGAATACAATGGTGAATAACTTAACAGTCTCTAACATCAAAAAGCTAGTTATGCATATTAAATATGATGGGGCGTGTGTCCATGAGCATCCAAGCATGTGAGTCAACACCCCATTTATTGAGCCTTTGACCAATTACCAGAGTGGACATTAAGATGGGCATAGATTAGCAAACTTAGAAGAAATTAGAGAGAAAAATTAGAGAGAAATTAGAAGTTCATTCTGTAAGCAGGCTTGTAGTTGCATATTGTCTAACTTCATGTAGGACAAGAAATATATCTTAGCAAATAGGAGTAGAAGGGATTCAAATGATAAGCTGCTGGCAAAGAGCTCTGTCCATTTTCAAAGTCT